CCCCTTGTTTATCAGGTTGCTCTCGCTTCCTCTGTGTGTCTGTGGTTTCGGGGTTTTTTGGGGTTGGTTTTTTTTTGTTTGTTTTCTTTTCCTCTCAAAGACAAACTTGCTGTCAACTGTACAGGTGAACCCCACAGAGGTTTCCCATGTAGGCCACGCGTTACAGAGGGATGAGATGTTACAGAAGGTGACAGCATGTAGCGCATCTCACTTGCTCTCCTTCTAAAGGGCTTATTTTCTCTGCCAATTAGATAATGTTTATAGGATGCAGAGTCACGTAAAGCTTAGTAAAGTAAGCGATGTTTGCTTGTTCCTTAAAAATTTGTGGGTTTTTGGGGGGGTTGTTTTTTGTTTTGGGAAGGAGAGTGGGAACAAAGTGGCATACAACTGGAAGCAATGGTCTTGCTTCCAGTTATATGCATAAGCTGATTTCTCTTTCTCTCCCCACCTCCTCCTTCCCCCCTCCCAGCTTTTTGCTTACAGCAAAAATACGTATGGCTGGCCTCAGCCTTTCAAAACGGGAGGCCTCTCTGAACCTTAAATATTTTTACCAAACTTCTTAGCAAATTATAACCACCACCTTTTCTTTTTCTAACTCCATATATGCATTGAAACAGCTGCGCGTCCTTTTACCTTCTGGGGTAAAAGACCTGGCAGCAGCAGTAGCTGCTGTGAGCACCTGGTTGTGGCCAAAATGAGTTGCCTGGTGCCTTGCTTGCTCAGCGCGAAGGTAGTTTGTAGCCACTTGACTGTAAAGGCAACAGCACGTAAGGACGATTATCTAGCATACAGAGAGATACTGTTGTGCCACTGATCCAGAAGGAAAGCTCCATAGGGAGGGGGGGAAGCCACCATTTCCTGGGTTGTTACGCAGGAGTTTAGGGAAACGTCATGTAAATGAACTGGTTGGTTTTCCTTTCTCTACTCTCCAACCTCATCCACCCCCATACAGTGGTAAGTTATGGTGAAGTGATGGTTTTTTTTTCCAGGTAGTAAAAATTGACTTAATTCTTTTATTCCTCCTTCTAATTAGTTATAGTTCAGGGGGGAGTACATACAAAAAAAGGAAGTTATTATTTGTATTTGATTTTTCACTTACGTGGATGTTGCCATGTGATTTCCCTTCCCTTCCCAAATCAATTTTTTCTATTTTGAGAGGAGAATGAGGCACCAGTTTACTTGATTTGCATCAGCTTGATTTGAAACTTTGTAAAAATGCCCGTTTTCTCCTCCTGTTACCTTTACTTGTAGCAGAATTCCTGCACAAAGCTACTGCTACAAGTCCATTACTGTCAGCTTGAACAAGGAAGATGCAGCCTGGAAAAGAGAGAATTGAGAAGCCTCAAATATATTAAAATATATATATGTAAAATTACAAAATGATCTCTATTGCAAGATAATATTCCACTTTTCTGTATGTGGTGGGGCACATTTAGATTTAATTTTTCCTCTAGGCTCTCTTTAGTTGTGTTTTATTCCCTGTGAAAAGAATGCCTTTGATAATACCGTTTAAAATATGCTTTCATATTTCTGCGGCATACTTTCTCACGCTCCATGCTTTCCAGCTTACAGTATTAACTGTGGTCTTTGCCATGTTCCCACCAATGCAGTCAAATAGCAATAGAGCTTTCTTGGGGTGTAAACCTTTTATTTTCTCCTATAGTATAGTTAACAACAGAGTTTGTAATATTCTGATCATCTGTAATTGCAGTGCAGCTGTGGTTTAGGCTTTAAATTCTGATGGTCTTTCATAGGAGAGTGTGCAAGTCTTGGAACCAGTTGTTCGCCTGCTATTAAACGTCTTTTCAGTACACTGTTTGGAAAAGTGCTTTACACTGCAAATCTCTTGCTACCAATAAATCAGTAGTTAGCTGGACAAGCACTACTCAGAGTGGTATTTCAATGCTTGCAGTATGAGCTGATGTCTATTCACTTTGCCAACCCAAATTCCATTCCAGGTCTTCACGTAATGCAAATCAGATTATTGAAATCCAGGGTATGCTGATCTGGAACAGCCTGTCAAGATGTACTCAAGGATCTAATCTTAACTCCGAATTTAGTTTAAAATAGTAGTATTGTTCCTTTCCCGTAATGCCTCATTGTCAATTTCCTTCTGAATTAATTAGAGCCTTACCTAGGTAACGCTGACAAAAGTCGTCTTAGTAGTGGCTGTACTGCCCAAGTGGTTATACAGCTCTGCAAAGTCAAGCAATTTAATTTTTTTTCCTACTACTGCCTACCTTTTTTTGCAGATCTAATAATACAATGTCAACTGGAAGGGTACGAACGAAGAAAAAGGCATGTTCTTCAGACCAGTCTCCAGACAACCTTCCTCTGAGGAGTTCTGGAAGACAGGTATTTATAATAATTTAAAAGCACGTGGGTTTGTATTGTGGGATGTTTTTTATTTTCTATAAAGAAAACAGGCTTAATTGTGGATAAGTTAGGACCTAGAGTACTTATCCTGAGAGAGGGAGAATGAGTTAATCCTGTGAAAAAGTAGGCAAAGTGTCTCATTTGTGAACGGTATTCAGAAATGAGAAACGCGCAATATAATCAGTAAATACTTGCTGTGTTAAAAATACAATCACAGATTTCTGTACAGCCAGACAAAGCTGTCTGCCCCTCCAGACGGAGGCCTAAAACAACACAATGCACCATACCGTCGAGGCCCAGAAGAGACATTTGGTATACCACTTTGTATCTGGAGTCCGAAAAGAGCCCTGAGCCTACCCTATTATTTTATTTGAGGTGCAGATAAGATTGCCACTAATTAATATCAGTAAGTATGTGAAGAAGAGATTTTCTGAAGGAGAAATAGAATGAACGTGTGAGGCTTGACTCATTAGCATGTGATGGAGCTTAAAATACGATTTAAATGGGAAGCTTTGCTTGTAATTTCTTTAATGGCATCAGTTAGACTAAGGCAAGACATTTTTAGCTTTAAATGATATTTCCAGCCTTACTGGATTTTTTTTTTTTAGAAAAACTGACCTAGTTTGACAGCTGTTTCATGCTGCAGCTATTTCACAATGGACACAAAAATTTTCATTAGTACCAATTTAACCATTTGATTCTACTCACAAGCTGCAAAATTGTCTGAATGGCATTTTGTAGAAGATGCATTTGTGTCATTTCTGGTCAGATTTCAGCTATTCTTTGTTAGGTGAAGAAGAAAGCGGCCGAAGCAGCAGATGATGATGATGAAGCGTCAGAGAAGAAATACAGAAAGTGTGAAAAAGCTGGATGCACTGCGACATGTCCCGTTTGCTTTGCCAGTGCAGCTGAAAGGTTTGTTTCTTTTATTTGCGTTTTCCATAGACTCTTCTAAACTTGCAGCTGAAGTTTAGGATCCTAGCTATATTCTGAAAAATCACTTTGTTTCTAAATGTAGAGAGAGAATTGAAAGGTACTCATATAAGTCTTAAGATGCCAGGAAAGTGTCACAAGTTATTCCTGTTGTGGATAACTTTCTACCGTGCAAGTTGCTAATTCAGATATAGAATATCTTTAGAATACGCTTGCTTATGTTATTAATGGTGTCTTCTGGAACATGCCTTGCTTCTGTGAAACTGAGAGCGTATTAGTGTAATCTGAGGAAGCTAAACTTGCTTTCAAGATGGAAAGCGAAACTGTCATTTACTGCAGAAAAGTCTTTATCACTCTTTCATTGCAATGCTTTGGAGTCCGAGGTGAGATTCTGACATTTAAATTTTAGGTCTTGGAAGACAGTTGTACTTATTTGAACTCTGTCAAAGTTCACGGCTTTCTATGTACTTGCACAAGTCCTTTTGCGCTCTGACCCTGGTGGTACTGAACACACAGTACTGACAAGGTGTATCTCTAATAAGCAACGTGTTAGACCTCATTATGCAGTAGGCGGACTGTAATTACATAGCATTCTTCCTTCCCTGGTTAATTGAGAAAAACTTCCCTTTTTAATTTATTTTCCAGTGCTAAAAATAATTCAGTGCTTCATTTAGTTATCTGTATGGCTTGGTCTTTGGTTGCAGGTCAGTGTATTCTGGATATTGTCATAACCCAAGTTATACTGGCAGTTGCATAGAGACTTGTAGGGGAAATGAGCACCTGAGAGATCAGCATTGGTGATATTACATTTTTTACTGAGGAAACAATAGATACTGCTTAGGCAGCTTTTTGAATTGTTAATGTAATATTTTGATTTCCACCCCTCCCACCCCCTGAGTACATACTTTTAACATTATTTATTTGAGATGAGATAATTTCATGGGTAGCTATTTCAGTTAGTAGCTTAGGTCACTGCTTTTTACCTCGTGCTTTTTGCCTTGTGCAGTTATCTCGAACCATTTCATTGAGTTTAATGAGAGTTTTCTAAGTGAAGAGCAATTGCTTTGTCTGATGAATATAATCTTTGCAATGGATATTTCTTTCTGAGACTAATAACGAATAAATGCCCAGAATGTCTAACTGCTTCCTCAGGGTCTTCTCTCATTGGGTTAAAATCGCAGCCAGCTCAGTCATGTGAGAAAAATAGGCAACATCTGTTTTGTGTTCAGATTTGCCTTTATAGTTTTGTCAGTTGTTCTGGGGATGGGATCTTGTAATGATTTATGAATCAATTGATTACACATACATGAAAAATGCTAATTTAAATGATCCCTCCCGCCCCTGCACTAATACCAGGATAAAATAGAACAAAGCAAAGGAACTGTAAGTTCCTGTGGAGAGGGACTTTGTCTTCTTACACATTTGCAAAACGCTTCGTGTGTCACAGCACATATTGTAAAAGCAAGCGTATTTCATGTTCAGGAAACGTCTGCTTAAAGGGTACTAAAGACAGGCTCAGTTGACTATTGTTAGCGGGAGATTGCTGGAAGCCAGACCATCCATAAAACTGCACATTGTGTACATTTTGCCTCCTTTGCATCTGGTGTTGCTTAGTTTGGAAACTGGAAACGTTTGAGACAATTGAAATGATCTTATTGTTATTGGTATGACTGTAGTGCCTTGTGCAAGTCAGCCTTCATGAATGTAACATAAAGCCCTGGCTTATTCTGCATATTTTGTTCATGTTCTAGAATGTGCTACTGTCAACAGAGGGATTTTTTGTTTTTTTAATTATTTTTTTTTCCTAAATGTATCATAAAACTATTTTTATGTCTCCTCCATTACAGATGTGCTAAAAATGGGTATACGTCTAGATGGTATCATCTTTCCTGTGGGGAACACTTCTGCAATGAATGCTTTGACCACTATTACCGAAGGTAGATTTGCCAATCAAGGTTGTGCCTTTTCAATGCTTGTTAAAATTTGGCAGATGTTTCAACTGTTGAAACATCATGTACTTAAATATAATACAAAGACTTCTCCTCTGTGCTTGCTTTATTCAAAGTTAGGCCTGTATATTGGTGCTAAAACTGCAGGTGGTGTATGGACTACCCATAAACTTAAACATAGCAGTGTGAACAGAACTGGTTGCTTCAGACAGGCTGTGTTGTGTGTACCATTACACTGAAGCTTTTTGTAATTTTTTAAAACAGCATCAGAGAAATTTAAATGATGAGAACAGTTTTAAGTAAATCTATTTTCCTTTGTAAAGCAAATTAACTTTACAATGTGAGTTCAGGAGACCTTGCCTCTCTGTAAGGTCAAAACAGGGAGTAGATTTAACTCTGTGGTTCCATGACTGTGAAGACTCTGGTCAGGCTCACAGAGGGCTTTCAGCTCCAAGCTCCTTCCCATATGAGTGGGAGTTGAGTCCAGCTCTACTAAGACTTTTGGGTTCTTACACACTCAGCAGTACCTGTGACTCACTCTGAGCCTTAGATACTGGGAAAGGTGCTCATGATCAAGAGGACACAGCAGTCAGGATGCAGGTTATTGCTATCGTAAGAACCATGACTTTCTCCTTTTTTTAATAGGAAAAATGTAGGACTCTCTACAGCCTTATTTCTCTGTCCTTACATAAAATGTTTAATTTTAGAATAGCTGCTGTTGCTTGAAATGAACTAGATGTTAAATTTTCTAACTGCTTGCTGTTTTCTCTTTCTTCCTAGCCATAAAGATGGTTATGAGAAATATACTGCCTGGAAAAGGATTTGGACAAGTAATGGTAAAAGTGAGCCCAGTCCAAAAGCCTTCATGGCTGATCAACAGCTTCCTTACTGGGTAAGATGGAGGGTGATTTATTTAATAGGGTATATTTCAGTGTGACGTTCTGATGTGAGTTTCTGATACTGTATGTTCAAGCAGCAGGTCAGCTGAGTTTTTGTGGGGGTTTTCTAGTATTAAGAGCACTGTGGAAAAGCTGAAGATAGTAATTCTGATCAGCTCCTCCACTGTTGGAGACCTTCTCTACACCTCAGAAAGAGCACCCTTTTGTTGCTTTTCAGGGAAGTAGCAGCTAAGATGTGGGATGATGAGGTAGAGTAAGACTTGATGGGAGAAAAGGGATTGTGCCAGCTATAGGAAAGTACAAGTGTGAAAGACTTCCAAAAAAGATTTTGTATTTCCCTGGTAAAGAGAGCAGAAGAAGAGAGGCTGGAATGGAAGGAAGTCTGGTGGTGGTGCTGGTGGTGGATTTTTGTTGTTCTTGAAGTGGTGAACAATGTATTTTTGCAGTAATGCTTGCAGGACCCACTGCAGACCATAACTGGGTGTTGAATTAACTTTGGAGTTAGGTTCTGTGGAGAAATTCAGTCTTACAGGAGATGGGTACACAGTTTTTGTACACCAGATGTCTTCGGTATGACCCGAGGATTACATGAGAACAAATGTAACAATTTTTGACAACTTCCTCACATCTCCCTGCTTTCTAATTGGTTAGTTATGCTTCATTAGTCTTATCTGTAATCAGGCAGCGACAAGCAAAAACATGTTTGTTTTTTGACTTGTAGGTGCAGTGCACAAAGCCAGACTGTGGTAAATGGCGTCAGCTGACAAAGGAAATCCAGCTGACACCACAAATAGCAAAAACTTACAGATGTGGTATGAAACTGAACAATTCCACCAAGGTAACACACAAGGGTTTTGCTCATACTGAAACTATCAACAAGTTGATATTTCTTGTTTTCTTCTTCTTTGCTGCTTAATGATTCTGATGTCAAAATGCTTGTCTGATGGCCTGGAGAGCAGCACGGTGACAGGCCTACATGATGCTTGGACTTTCTGTTTCCCAAATGGAGATGCCAAGAAAGAAGTATCTGGAATATCTTTGCACAGTCAATTGTAAAATCCTTAATTCTGAAGCTATGGAAAGATTATCAGCATGTACAAACTAGACATACACCAAAACGTTTATTTTGGTTTTGTTCAGCCATACTTAATTATTAATGAAAGCATTTAAAAAGCTCAATGAGCTTTTATTAATTTTTAGCGAGTCTGTAATGGGACATGGAAACTTTCAGCTTTGGCAAGAAATAACTCCTAAAATTTGAAAGAGTCCTTATAGTGCCATAGAATCTATATCGTTAAAAACATAACATGAAAATACTGACCATATGAAAATTGGAAGGGTCAGCACTTGATCTTGAAACTTTTGGATAAAGATACTCTTAAAATAAATGAGAAACTTTTTTATAGTCTAGACTGGAAGAGTCTCTCTGGAAAATGTAGCATCTTTCCAGAATTCTTCTATAAAATTCCCCTTTTCTTTTTTTTCTTCACTTGTTTCTGTCTGTGTTCCACTCCATTTCATGAAATAGAATGTATATTTTAATGTCTGATCAGTAGAAAGTAACAAATGAGAAACATTTTCTGGGGTGTTTTTGCTTTATAGGGTGTTGTGTTTTTCAACTATGCATTTCTTTACTGTTTGGGGGTTTTTTTACCAACATGGTCATCTCTGCTTCAGAAGACTAATGCTAACACATTTTTGTTTGTTTGGTTGGTTTTTTTAAGTTTGAAGAACTATACCATACACAAATTACTTTGGTTTATATTTAATTTTTGTTGTACAGCTTAAGAATAGCTCTAATACCATTCATTTTTCTTTCAGACGGAGGGCTCAGACCAGTGTTCCATGCCTGAGGACTTGGTGAGTAGTGGCTGTTCCTAATTTGTCTTAGAATACGAAAGCAATCTTAAAGCACAGTATATTTCTTTCCTTTTCTTGGTCCTTTGGCCAGTTATGGTGGTATTTATGCATTTTGCTCGGGAAACTGTCAGACAGTATTTGCAACAGAGCCTCAGGCTTTCTACTCTCTCATCTTTTTTCCTGTTTTTCCTTACCATTCCGATCAGCTTCCAAGTGGTTTGTGGTGTCGTTGAGTTGTGGTCTGTGATTCAAGGTTTACTCCTAATTCTCACTTTTGATGGGGCAAAACAGTTGCCAGCTTTCAAATAAGATTCCCCATCCTAAAATTTCCCTGTGATTTCTATCTTTAGTCAAGCTAGTCTCCTCTTTTTGAAGACTGCGAGAGAAAATCAAAACATGTTTTGTCTCTCATTTCCCTCATAATACAAAACTAGACTTGGTATTTGTTGGTGTTTCAATGGGTTTATGATCATGTAATCCTGCATTTTGGATTTAGTATGATCTGATGTTCAATAAGTCAATGTTGACAAGCGTACCTGAGGTACCTGTATCACAGAAAACATATTCAAGCTTATTGTTGGCTCTTGTGGAAGCTTTGTGGTTTTGTTTCCTTAATGCATGTTCGATTTGTAAATTAAGGCTGAATGTTAGCATTTGTTACGGTTTTAGAAGGTCTTTGATGGAGATAGCAAAATTAAATTAAATTGATCAGTTAGCATAGGCTTTTCTAAGTTCAGATTTCTGGATACATAAATGACTGTACATGTTTTATAAAGGGCCTGATAAGACATAGATGTGCTGTCATGGCATGCCTCATCTCTTTGCTTTCCACGTGGGTGTGGAGTTTGTGAAGTTTCACCTCCATTTCTGAGGAAGAGATTAATGCTACAGGTTTTCTGTGTCAGGCTGAGGAAGGGGAAAGAGGGAGAGAAAATGTCTTTATGACTTGCAATTCTGAGATTGGTACTTCTAGTGCTTTTTTGGTCTCAGTTTTGGAGGGAGGGAGGGGACTGGTTCATTTTCCTACATTTTCAAAGTACTGACGTGTTCTCTTCTCCCCTCTTTCCTTCACTTCTCCGCTTGGCCAGAGAGTGGCTGAAGTTTCAGACCATTGGTGGTACTCCATGCTCATACTCCCTCCTTTGCTGAAAGACAGTGTGGCAGCTCCCTTTCTAGCTGCATATTATCCAGACTGCGTGGGCATGAGTCCATCCTGTACCAGCACTAATCGGTTACCTGGTGAATCCAACCTTGTGAAGTTAGAGCACTTAAAGAGCGTGCCTAATTTGACTGGTAAGGGCCATCTGCAGGGCTCTGTTGCTTAAATAGGTGTGATAAATTCTGTCTTATAACTCAGTTTGTGAGGAACATAATGCTCCTGGTTCAGAAATACTGGTTCTGTTCTCAGCACTAATACACACTCTCTGTGTGACTACCTCTGTACTTCTTTGATGCAATTTGCTTGTTCGTGAGATAAAGGTAATACATTCCGTATGGCATTTCTTTAGGGAGTAAGCACAGCAAAGGCTTTTTGATTACCACCTATCATTGTTTATAGAAATGGGAAATTAACATGCGAGTACTTAAAAATTGTTTGTGTTCTTAAGGAAATGAAGATTTATCAAAATAAAACATGATTCTGCTGTATTTGATATTGTGGACCTTTGGGGCTTTGTAGAAAATGATTTGATTTCTTAAGGCACTCAAATTCTGTTTAGATTAATTTTTTTGCTAATGACAGCTGTGAGATTTACAGCCTGGGAGTGCGGATCTGCAGAACAGGTCAGGTGTGGAGAAGGGTAATTCAGGATTCTTGTAGTCATCTCAGAGAGACTGATTTGAGGCAAGTTCAGCTTCTGTGTTGTCTTAGCAGGCTTTGCTCTCCTTAGGTGCTGAAAATAAATCTGTTCATCTATTCAACTGATGTTTATCTGCTTAACAAACAGAAAACTTGATTACACAGAGCTACCAATACTGCACATGAAAGATGATTACTTTTAGTTACTACCCACTCTGGGCAGTATTGAGAGTTGAAGATGAAATTGAGTTGAGAGCACTGCATGAACCTGTACAACGATGCTAAACCTTAGATCTGAGTTTAGATCCTGTTCCTTGTTGGACTCATCATGGCATCCGAGGACACAAACTATTTCTTTGAGAAAACTGAAGTTCTGATAGGTCCAAAATGTACCCATCAAGTAGCAGGACAATAACTAATACTGCACAGCCTAGAGGGTAGGAGAAGGGAAAGCAATATAAATGAAATAATTCAGAAGGTGGCTAGAGGCTGGAAAGCTTCGTTACTTGTTTATTTGTGTGAGGTCAATGGAGCATTTTAGAGGGAAAAAGGATGTGATAAAGATAGGATGGAATATGACGGTTCTTGCTGTGTCTTTATTCAGTTGCAGGCATGAACAAGTATTTCCAGCCATTTTACCAGCCCAATGAATGTGGGAAAGCACTTTGTGTGAGGCCAGATGTCATGGAACTGGATGAGCTCTATGAGTTCCCAGAATATTCCCGAGACCCTACCATGTACTTGGCTTTGAGAAACCTGATTTTGGCTCTGTGGTACACAAACTGCAAGGTAAGAGATGCTAATAGTTAATCTGTTTGTTGACGAATAATAGCTACTTTTTTGGACTCTCTTCTTAGATGTCTCCTTATGCACCAGAAAAATTGCTCCCATTCTTCTGAAGAGCCATTCTAAGACTGGCTGGTCGTGGTTCTGGGTTTCTTTTGTTTTTTGTTTGGGGGGCTGTTGATTTGGTTTTTTCTGTTTTGTTTTGTTTTGTTTTAATGCCTAGGAGCTTCTTTTGCAATGACATACAAAAGTTTTAAAACTATTAAAACTCTACTGAGTCTGCCCAGCTATTAATTTTTAAAGGGATGCTTCAACATATATAAACAGTGTTAGTGGGTGCTTTATATTTTCTTTTCATATGACTGTTGGACAGGGAAATGATTGTCTTTTTACTTCTGCTAACTCTGTGACACTGCCTTCAATGGAATTGCTGGAATTTCACATACTGGTGTTTTCAGATACTGATGTCTGTATCTATTTGAAGGTTTTTTATGCTAATCTATTTTTTATTTGGAATACCACATTGGAATGGATTTTACTGGAATGTCACTGTGAACATTGCCACCAGGGAGATTCATTTTGCAATCAGGGATGTATTTCAATACCGTTCCTGTACTGATGGAGCACACCATGGAGTCTGCAAGTATCTTGTAGACTCATTTGCTTTTATTTCATGTTAATCTAGCTTAGTAAGTTGTTACCTTGGTATGTAAAGCTGGCTAGCATGAAGCTTCCACAAAACTTGCTTTTGAAAGGCTCTCAGAAGTGTGATACATTATTAATTTTAACCGCCTGGTTTACAGTTTAAATATGATGCAAACACATGAAAATATTGAATATTAGAAAATCAACACTTTCTTTTGTTTCTCCTTTGCAGGAGGCTCTTACCCCTCAGAAATGTATCCATCACATCATTGTTCGTGGGCTTGTGCGTATTCGCTGTGTACAGGAAATGGAGAGGATACTTAATTTTATGACAAGGAAAGGGCTAATTAATACAGGGATTTTATCAGTCAGTCCTGACCACTATCTTCTTCCTAAAGAATACCACAATGTAAGTTGCTGTAGTAATCCCTACAATATTAGTGCTATAAATCTACATGGCACCTGTAGATTTATACATGTACATGGCATTTTTTGGTCCAGAATTTTTGCTCATTACCTATCATTCCAACCGTTTATGTAAAAATTACATTTAAAAGCAAACATATTGCATGTTTTTTACATGGTTCTCACCTGCCTTCAATGGTTATGGAAACTATGTTTCTTGTCTGATAACTTCAGCAAGACTTTATTACTTGACTGAAAACTTCAGCTGTTTCCATTAAAAGAAGTTGAGACATCTGCTTTTAAAGTCCTTAAAAATTGTAACTATTTTCAAAGCTACATTTGATCTTTTCTCTATATTTAATGCACTATTATCTTTAAAAGTTATCACTGATTAATTTAGAGGACAAGAGAGCCTAGACTCCTGAAATGTAGAGGTATTTTTAACTGTAGAAAGAAGAAAGGTAAGTGTGCAATGATAATTTCTCTTTTAGTTCTAACCATTTTATTATTATGGTTTATTATTTTTTAGAAATCTGTCATTATTGTTGGGGCTGGTGCAGCAGGATTGGCAGCAGCCCGACAACTGCACAACTTTGGAATTAAGGTAAGGAACCTTAGATTACATTACTTAAAAAATCAGAATTCCTCTGCTTTGAAAGTGTTCTTTATCAAAATAAAAAAAAAACTTATTACAAACATTTCTGTAGGGCATGCTAATTAATTTGTAAATTCTAGGGGTTTACTGAGTAAATCTGCTGTTTAAAAATGTTTATTTTTATCTAAAATTCAATAAAGCATGTGGTGAATATTCTACAAAGGCTTGAGCTGTGAGGACAGGGGAGACATGGATATTCATGTCCAAATAATGGGACAATAATGATGATGGCTGTTTAAATGAGATGAAATTTTCCTTCGTTGGTGCACTTTACTGGACTTAATAGGGCTTTAGCTCTTCTAAAAAGAAACCTTATTTTTTGTTAGGGTTGTTTCTTAAAGTGAGTTATTTTATATGTGTATATTGGAAAGGGTAATCTTTAAAAGATTATTTAAATGCATAAATGAACTATATCCACATACAAAAATAAAGTGTTAAGATTATTAGCACTGCTGGATTGCTTGGGGGTTTTTTTTGTGTTTTGTTTTCTCTTTCGCTCTGGAGTTGAGCAGATATGTTTAATGTAGTTGAATCTTACAATTTACTAAGCTGCATTGTGTCATAGGTCATTGTCTTAGAAGCTAAAGACAGAATTGGTGGCCGAGTATGGGACGATACGACATTCCAAGGAGTCACTGTTGGAAGAGGTGCACAAATTGTCAATGGATGTGTCAACAACCCAATGGCACTAATGTGTGAGCAAGTGGGTTCCCTGCAGTGGTCATTATCACTAGTGAAAAGCTCTCATTAAAGCCTGGTTTGGGTGGCTGGGTAAGGGTGGGAGCCCTTTTTCATTAAAAAAACCTGTTCTGCGCTCTAAGTAAACTCCTCGTTGCTATTATATCTTTATATAACACTTCGTGACAGAGAAGGGCTATAGAATGGTTTGGGGCACTTTATATAAAGAAAAACAAGGCAGCTCCAGCTTCAGAACCAGAAGAAACCACTTTTTTCCCACTTTTCTGGAGATAGTAATGTAAAAGGTCCCCATCAGTCTTCCTTAGAGCCGAGTAGGGCTTTACTGTGGGAGGCTATTGCTATGTTTTCGTAATACATACTTCTACGAAGGACTTGCCTTTGCTCAGCCTCTGTATTTCTATTTCAGTATCACAAAAGTTAAGATGAATATATCTAACAACTACTGATGCAAACACACTGCAGTTCAGTTTTTGTTGGTGGTAGTGTTTTGGTTTGAGGGGTTTTTTGTGCAGGAAGCCGAATTTCTCCAAGTGGAACCTGTGTATGGATTCTGTTCAGAGAGGCATGCAAATCCAGCCCATGCTATTTTAACTGTTCAGTGCTCTAGTGTCATGAGGAGTTTGGTTTTTTGTTGTTTTCTTGTTGAATCGTGTTTTAGTTATGAGGTGAGGAGCAATGACTTCTGAATACACCTTGGCTGCCCATCCCTTTGTGGTCATTTGATGCCATCTTTCATTCAAAGTACAACTGTATCTTGAGAAGAGATCTGCAGTGGTGACCAGGAGCCCAGAGAGATGTGAGGATATGTGCAAAACACTGGAGCGCACCCTAAGTTACAAGGCCCTAGGAAGAAGTTAGCACTCTATTTGTGCTGTTTTTCTCTGGACTGACTTTGTAGAACGTAAAAATGGCTTTATTCTGATTTAGCTCTGTTGTGTATTCGCTGCAAGTTGGATGAGCAGAGCAAGATACTAGGTTTAATTCCAGATATTTTTTTTATTTGCTTGCTTGTTAATAAAATTGGTGGTAACTGACAAGCAACATCTTGTCAGTTCCTGAATCCAATGAACTGTGTGGGCATCAAGCACCAGAAAGTTGTAGAAAAGATTGTAATGGCGATTTAGAGAACAAGGTGAGGTAGAAATGAAGGAGACTGGTTCATCATGTTTGATTACCAGACCAAACATCTCTGTACCAGCTCCTGGGATGATAGGAAAGTTGGAGATGAAGTTTCCGGGAACCCCCAATAAAGAAAAGAATTGAAGAGTGTGTAAAAACGATTTGTGGACAGTAAACAGATAGGATTGTTGGTTGCTTTAGCAGAACGAGAGTTTGAGTTAATCTGACTAAACTGTTTAAAGTTATGGATGTTTTTTAAGTGGCATCACTTAAATCTGAGGGATTCACCTTACTTTAAATAACTTTGAGCAGGCTAGGCACTGTAGTTTTTCCATACTTAAAGAGCAATAAAATGTCTTTTTCTTAAGCTTGGCATTAAAATGCACAAACTAGGGGAGAAATGTGACTTGATCCAGGAAGGTGGAAGGATAACAGATCCCACTATTGATAAACGTATGGACTTTCATTTCAATGCCATCCTAGATGTCGTCTCTGAGTGGAGAAAAGATAAAACCCAACATCAAGATGTTCCTCTTGGTGGTAAGTGGGAGATGTATCACAAAGTGAAGATGCTGGCTGTGTTCACAGAGCTTTATATTAAATGGGCTTTTACATCGGACGTGTTTAGAAGTGTATGGCTATACGTCTGACCTTAAATCCAACAGTGATAACCTGTCTCTACGGAGGACAAAGGGAGATTGACTATTGAATACACACAGACAAAAATGTCACTTGTAACTTTTAAGGAAGCCTAATTTGAAGGCTTCTATAATACTCTACAACTTCTGATGTAGTATCTTGTTTTCATGAGGTAGCTTTTTCAGTATAACTAGTGGCAGTAGCAGTTCAAAAGACTTGCTTCTTGCTGAAGGAGGCCATGGCTAGCTGTAACTCACATACTTTTTGACTAATCTGTCTAAAAAAGAGCCTGATCAAAGCTTTCTGCTGGCAAGAATAGTCCCATCTCCATTGGTAACGCCTCTCACCACACTTACAGCATGCAAGCACATTCAACAAAAAAAGTAAAGTTGCTCAGAAATGTCTGCCTCCCAGACCTTTTCAGCGTGGATTCTGTAAAACAGAATTAGCATGTTCTATGTTCTTCAGTGAACTCTGGATCAAGTTTCTCAGCTTTTGTAAAAATTAAGCAGGATTTATTTGCAAGGATTCTCCATTATCTAAAGTGTATTTTCCTTGAAATATCTTCAACTGTATATTGGTGATAGCTAAACCATTCATATCTGTCCTGTCTCAATTGGTTAGCCCAGTTGTGCTGTTGCACAGTGTAGTTTTATTTTTTCTTTGAAATAATTTTAACCTCTTTTTTTTCCTGAAGCTATGTATGTTTCCTTGTTGAAGAAGAAGATTTTACTAGGGAAACTTAGATTAAATAACAAAGTTGTATTTTATCACTGGAAAGATCTTGTGGGTTTTTTTCTATAAGAAGATAAACATCTTAGTGCAAATCAGCAGTAAGCTTGAAAAATCTTGTGATCCAGAGAATAGCATATTGAAATGCAGTAGGACTTCTGACAAATTGTGATGTATTCTTATTTTAAACATCTTCTTTCTCAGAAAAAATACAAGAGATCTATAAAGCCTTTATTCAGGAATCTGGTATCCAGTTCAGTGAACTGGAAGAAAAAGTACTACAGTTCCATCTCAGTAATTTGGAGTATGCCTGTGGCAGCAATCTCTCTCAGGTCAGTTTTGGCAGCTGTGTTCTGAAGTGGTTGGGCTTCATAGAACACAGGGTTAGAAGGGGGGAGAAGGTCACTGAAAGATTGATCATGGAAGAACCTCTAAAGTGACAGAAAAAATTCCACTGAGATTTTTTTTGTATCTTATTTTCCTGTTCATGTTGGGAAATATTTCCATTTTTATTTGAAGTCTTAAGGCTGTAAAATCCGATTTCTTTGCTAGAGACAGAAAACTCAAATAAATACACTCCAATCCCCCTGAATTTTTGTACTACTTTCCTTATTTTATCTATCAAGCAGAACTATAAATTACCTGCTAGTGACCAACCCATATTGACATTTCTTAGTCCAGCAATTCACGTGAATAGTGGCCTTAGGTAAATAAGTTGTTTGCTTTTGTCAGCGTTGCCATACATTCTGGTGACACACTTTTTTTTCCCCCAATTGTGAAGGGAATTAGGGAGGCTTCTTCTAAGCTGTGGGACATTTGTTAGTACCCTTGTCACCTCACCAGTGGAGACAGGCAGTTGTGTTCTGTCCACAGGTATCTGCACGCTCATGGGACCACAATGAATTTTTTGCCCAATTTGCTGGAGATCACACTCTTCTAACTGTGGGATATTCTACTGTGATTGACAAGTTGGCAGAAGGGCTGGACATCCGGCTGAATTTTCCAGTAAGTCTGGAAAACGTTGATGCAGTGCCTGTCTTGGACCGCTTTGAAGCACCTAATCATGTCTTTGTATTCTTTTGGGCCAGGCAAATCTGTGCCTGTGATTATTTTGTCTTTTCTGTAAGAAAAGAGAGGACAATTTCAGCATTAATGGAAATCCTCTTTGAGAACTATCTGTACTTAAATATTATGAGCTTATGTTAGAATCATGATTTTCTTGTTTCAGGTTCCATGCAGGCTATTTTTTTTCTTTCAGTATTTCTCTGGAAATTTGTGTTTTTCAATTTCTAGTTTGCAGACTGATGCTATACTAGCTATTCTTGTCTGAATTTGCATTGTGTATGTAGATTTTGTAGCATAATCTTCTCCAATTTGTCTTTCAATAGGTACAGAGTATTGACTATTCTGGTGAAGAAGTACAGGTCACTACTGTAGATGGAACAGTGTGGACAACACAAAAGGTACCCAATATGCTTCAAGATGAAGGATTTTAGGGAACACAAGAACAGTATTGACCACACTACATGTCCTTTTTTTTTCCCCTCAGAAGGCTATTTAGTCCAATTTCTCCCCGTTCAAAAATGAAAACTCATATCCTAGTGACTCGTATTTGGATGTCCTAGAGCCTGTTTTTCTTTGAGCATGCTTGAATTTTGAGTACTAGCTGATCCAAAGAACTAAGCACTAGAAAGGTAGTACTACACTTGTGAAGCAAACAGATTTTTATCTGGCCTTTGAAGTGACAGCTGTGTTTCCTGGTTTCATTCCTTGCTCAGCTTTACTCCATTTAGCATGTGAATTTCCCTGTTAGTTCTTTTCCCTTTGGTATTCAGGACTTGACAACCCATATTTCTCAGTCTCCCTTATTCCCTGTATCCCCACCTGCTTCACACTGCATAATTTAGCTTCTAGTAATTTTTAAAATTAATGCATTATCTTGATAAAGATTGGATTTGCCTCAACAGTGTTACTGAGCGTATTTTAAAGAGCAGGGATCTGTGAAGGAAGAACAAACCAAAACCAATGACCACTTCTCCTTTCAAAAAGACAGTTTTGTTAATCTGAGAGGCATTGACTATAATTTACAGAAGGTATTAAAATTAGCAGCATGGTTAGCCACTCTGATACAGGCAATTCAACAGACTACAACTTAAAACCAGTGAACTGCAGGATCTGTTGTCACCTGAACATAAGGCATGTGTTTCCCACTAATAGTGAGTAAAACCAGACACTAATCTAGAAATGTCTGGTGAGTATTATGATTATGCTACATCCTACAAGAATAATCCAAGATAGTTAAGAAGATGCTGTGAGCTTAAATGGAGTAAATTCAGCTTAAATTCAGCTTTTGCTGCTGTTGTGATTGTAATGATTTCTTTCAGGTATTAGTGACTGTACCACTGGCCCTTCTTCAGAAAAACGCTCTTCAGTTTAATCCTCCACTGTCAGAAAAAAAAATTAAAGCCATTAATAGTTTGGGAGCAGGAGTTATTGAGAAGGTAATCCATTTCAGATTGTATTTTATTTTCTTTTCATAAAAACATTGGCTGCTTTGTCCCTGTTGCTTTTGCCGTGTATTTCTCAGGATTCATTATGCATTTGGTATTACTTGTGGTAATTATTACTCTTGGGTTTTCCAAAATTCTAATAACATGCTTTTTCCAGGTCCTTTTGACCTAAACTGACAGTTGTGTATTTGACCAGTGTAAAATCTCCTACCTTTTCCAGTGCATAAAGACAGCCTCTCCTGAAAAGATCCCTAATAAGATGTGTGCTTAGAACAAAACAATAACAGAAGTTATGCCAGTAACAGGATTATAACAATGTTAATCACACAGTTCTACGTTAGGTTTGTAAAAATTCTGCCGAATTTCTTGAGCATTTTCTATAGAGAATTCCACTAAGAATTTGATAGTCTGTGCATCTGCAGTTTGTGAGACCCTCTCGCAGAACTGGGTGTCTCTAATTGAGTGGACAAGCAATATAGAATATACCATATGGTAGAATATACCATATCCAGTTGCGAGTTTTGTGGTTTTATGCTTTAATTCCATATCTCTCTCTCTCATTCTCTCTCTAGATTGCCTTGCAGTTTCCTTATAGATTTTGGGACAGTAAAATTCAAGGAGCTGATTTTTTTGGTCATGTTCCACCCAATTCCAGCCAACGTGGGCTCTTTAGTGTTTTCTATGACATGGATCCGGAGGTATTATATGCTAGCAGTATTTTCTGAAATATACTTACTGAAAAAATTGAAAGTTTTCTTCTTCCTTCCACCTCTGTAACTGTTAAAAGAAGTGGAAGCAGTGTTATTTATCAAGAAAAAGCTGATTGATACTTCACTGTAATAAATCAGAATACTTTCCTACATTTGAATACAAAATAAAATACAAGCAAGTTAATGTTTTTATTCCCAAATCTCTCAAAACCAAGTCTGTAATACCTGACTATAGATGAACTAATAATATGGGAAAAAGTAACTTCCAGGTTAGGACTTATGTTCCCTTATTTAAATCAGCTAAAAATCCTGTTTAAGAGATCATGCTGGCTTATTAACACTTAATGGCTTGCACAAGCCTGAAAAACTATGTGGAATGGCAGAAGAGACAAATACTAGGTTTTCTATGAAACTGAGGTTTATAGGGTCAGTCCTGCAGTCATGAATTCCAAAACAAACTCAAACCAGTGCATCAACATTGTGTTTCTCTTCCCCACCAGTTCCAAGCAGACACATTACATGTTTATATCTTACCTTTTTGTGCTTTCACAGCTGCTCCTTACTACCTGGCAGCACACACACAGAATCACACAGAATCGCTCGGTTGGAAAAGACCTCTGAGATCATCACGTCCAACCGTCCCTGTCTACCCCCTAAACCATATCCTTAAGTACCTCGTCTACCCGCTCTTTAAATACATCCAGGGATGGTGACTCCACCACCTCCCTGGGCAGCCTGTTCCAGCTTCTGACAACCCTCTCAGTAAAGAACTTCCTCCTTAATTAAAAGGAGGCAGCAATTAAAAGGCCAGTTTGGCTTACTCCAAAAGGAAACCATCCTGTGAAGACTGCTCTGTTACTACACTATCTGTACCTGTATATGACTTTCCTTAAACAAGTTTTCTTTTCAATACTTTCAGGCTCATTCTACATGCAGTTCAGTGTGCTGGTGCTGTCCAGAGACACTAGATATAACTCTTAATTTGCTTGATAGCTATTCTCTGCTAGCTGTCAAGTTCAGTAATAGAAGAATTGCATTAAATAACGGAGCTTCATCTTTGAAACTTCTGCACAGTAGCAGATTTCTTGAAGTGAAGTATTTCTTGAAATTTATTTTATTTATTTTTTCATTTCTTGGCCCAAAATCTGCTGGTAAGAACTTAGTATTGACCTAATCCAAAACATATCTAAGTAGTATTTAAATAGATTCTCTTTGTTACTACCTTTTGAAATTGGAGTTTAGTTGAGGTGGAATTTGGCACAGAACTGGCACTTAAGACGTCTGTCACAAAATGTAACGCTATAAACATCAAATCTTTTGGTGTAGCCTTTAAACAGGTGAATAGGAAGTTTTCAGTTAATTGAGCAAGGTGTAAAAGGGGCTGACTGTAACACAGATCTGTGAACAAGACATCAGAGTGTGTTAGTAATCTGGGCATAAATTCTGTAGAATACGCACCCTTTATTCTAAGGAATCAAACCCACTTTTCTGTAGAACAACAGTTGCTTTGCAGCTGAAAATCTCTTTGTCAACACCAGTTAAAAGGGACTTTGCAAGAAATACTTAATAACCTAATAATTTCCAAATAATCTCATATGTTAATGTCTTGTTTTTAGAGCAAACAAAGCATTTTAATGTCAGTGGTCACTGGGGATGCTGTGGCAACCATTAATAATTTAGATGATAAACAAGTATTGCAACAGTGTATGACTGTACTTCGAGAGCTGTTTAAGGAGCAGGTAAGAGAAGCCTTTTCTCTTAAGAGATGAATTAACTTGCCAACAGATGTAAAGCTTTCGACTGTTACTTCATGATATATAGGAAAACCTTTGATGTTTTAAACTGTTCTTCTTTTCTTGTCAGTTTGAGGGAATAATGCTTCCTTTGAGATACACTAAAAACAGTGTTTGGTCTCTTGTGTGAATAATGTGAAGTGAAATATCTTAGATCTGTCCAAATGAAAATGGCAATGAACTGAAAAAAAAATGAATGAACTGTCATCCTTTTAAGTACTTTTAGAAAGGAAAATGAATTAACATCAGTACTGTAGGCAGGTACAGAAATACACTTCTTTCTTAGCTGTCATTTTTTCAAAACTTTTTTTCTTTGGTCATCACTCCTTCCAATACATGATAAAAGCTTTAAGATAGACAAATTTGATTATGATTTCCCCACCTGCCATGTTTAAAGCAACTGAAATTACGATATCCCGCAACCAAACCAAACAAGTCTCTTACTCTTCAAATAAGAAATAGCCCTTCCGAAGCTGTCTTGGGATGGAGGTACAGGCAGAATGATCTATCACAGGCCCTACATCCTGACTGTAAAAAAAAAAAAAAATTAGATAAAAATTTCTACCTTTCCCCCAGCTCATCATTAGAATAAAAACTAACAGGAAAATCAGAGAAGTCTGAGGCAAGCAGAATACTGCCACTTAGCAATGTTATTTGCATTCCACTCTATAGACAGTAATGCCTTAGTTAAATTACTCAGAACAGTTAGATCTCAAGCAATGCTTGTGTTAATGTTCATGGGTGATCTCTCAAGTTTTACTTAGGGTTCAGATGTTAGGACTAATGATCTTGGAAAAACTTCAGCATCTGAAAGCTCAACTTTTCATAGAAAACATACTTTTGGTAGTGACTTTATAGTTACCAGAACCATGTGCAATATAAATCCATATACCTGCTATTTTGATCTCATGAGAACTTAGAGGTAGCAAACAAGGCTTTGGTTTTGTTGCCACTCCAGCCTAGAATAGTGATTTTCATGTCTGTCTCCATGGTTTAAAGCAGTTGTGAATTTCAGTCATCTGTCCACAATAAGCAGGATTTTCAAAGACAAGAGGTGTACCAGAACATCTTCTGGGATGTCCATGAAACTCACCATACTTGGCTAGCCATTGATTGCTTGAGCTTTAGTCTCTCGTGTGCTACCTGAATGGAACGGTCTGTTTGTTGATACCTTGAGTAAGAAGCAACCAGGAGTAGCTTATGTTTACTTGTTTCAAGGTCCTCAAGAGCAAGACACAGCTGTAGTTGACTAAGCCTTCATACAATTATTATCCAGGCTCTTTTTGGTATAATTGTCTGGAATTTGCATGCTGCAGTGTGACAAAAAATACACAGTATTAGTCATGGCTTAGCTACAGAGGCTCCTTCTGGTTTTTGTTTTCTCCCTGAACCTAGTTTTCAAGCCAGCTCATTTTCTGATCTTAGATAAGTAATGTCATTTCTCCATTGGAATAAAATTTATCTCCAAAATGAAGATTACATTTTGAGATTTAACAAGCTAGAAGTAGCAAAGCATAATGCTTTACCAAGATAAAAAGCGGTTACATTATACATGCAAACGTGTTGAATGATGTTGATATTGGTATTTGTTTGCAAAAGTATCTGTATATTTTGAGATTTTTTTTCCTCATGTGTAGCTCAAAGTATTTTACAATACCCAGATTTGTTGCATTCATAACTGCAGCTGTGATGTTTCAGACATCAGATAAGTCTAACGAACAAAATTACTTTCGTCGTTAGTAGTATAATAAAGGAAGTTGGAATTTAATTCTGCATTGTGATTTACTCTGTATCTAATGCTACATACTCCAAAGATTACAAGAAACCGTGAGAAAAAGCTTTGCAATTACCAGCTTTTCTTTGCAGTGCCTAACTTTAATTTTGATTATGCAGGAGGTTCCTGACCCAGTGAAGTTTTTTGTTACTCAATGGAGCAAAGACCCTTGGCTCCAGATGGCGTATAGTTTTGTGAAAACTGGGGGCAGCGGTGAAGCGTATGACATTATAGCTGAAGACATACAAGGAAAAATATTTTTTGCCGGTGAGGTAAGTATCTTTGTTACTGCTGAATAAGGTTATTGGCAAACTATTTCTTATGAAAGATCATCTTTTGCTAACCAACACTATTAATCTAGAAGTAGCATATAAATATTCTGTTACACAAGTATGCTAATTATATTTCTTGAATTTGGCACAGAACCTTCTTTATTCATATTATTGAGCGTGGAAAGTCTGCCAAATATTTCAGGTCAGGAATGAACTGTGTAACCATTAAGAACATGACAAGACTATACAATCCACTTTGTGTTTAGTCAAATTGTCTTTCCGTTACTCGATTTGTGGGTAATAAAACAAATGCATGCTGCTGATGCTACACATGCATTTGATACTGGAACAGAACTTACCTGCCCCACTAACATGCAAATGGTAAAACAGACTACGAATTTTGCTAATTGACTTGCTTGCAAATTCTGAAGTTGTTAAAACCTTAAATATTTCCTCCTAAATTCTTTCTAAGAAGTTTCCCATGGCTTTTAAAAATGTTGGTATATGCTCAAGGAAGACAAAATTGATCTTATAAATGGAAATTTCTAATAGTTTTAGAAACAATTAACTCTTTTTTTTTTAATACAGGCCACAAATAGGCATTTTCCTCAGACCGTTACAGGAGCTTACTTGAGTGGGGTTCGAGAAGCGAGCAAAATAGCAGCATTTTAAGTACTGAAATTTTGTGTTTATAGATATATTTTTAATTGTTTTCTGTGGGTAAAACTATCTCCAAGTTTCCTATTGCTGCCTTTCTCCTAAGTGGTACTTAAATAGTATATATGGTACCTGAAGATAAAATCTTCATCCTCCTTTTCCTCTTTCTGCCCCCCTCAACCCCTTTTAAGCCCTGATTTTATTTTTATATATATATATATATTTGGTTTTTTTTTCCCAGCTAAGGTGTTACTAGCAAGAGTGACATTGGAGTCCCTGGCCACTGCTTAACTAATGGAACTTCTGTTGAGTCCTTTTCCATATGACTCAAGTCATGCTATTGTAAACCTTCACTTCAGAAGGTCAGATTAAAACAAGACTTAAGTTAACATACGGCATTAAAAATGCTGGCAGTTAGTAATGATGATGGGAATTTTCCACTAACTGTGCTTCTCAGGTTGATTATGCTTGCTCCCAAAAGCCTGAATAGCCTAGACAAATTCTAGAGTTATTGTAGGAAGGAACGCAACTATCATTCTTTCCACTTGCAGTCAATAACCTTTTCTGTATTTTTTCATTTTCTTAGCCTCCACTAAGTGGGCTTTGGAATATCAAGTTTGTTCCTTTAAATGAGACAGCTGGAACAGTTTACAGTGCAATCATAGGAAGGTTATTGTAGCTAATAAAAACTTGAAAAAGTAACTTTTACATTACTTTAAAAAACTTTGAAATACTCTCCCTGCTACTTATTCAAAGAAAATCTTGTTACAATAATAGGCTAAGTCTAGATTTGCTTAGTGCTTCTCATCATGTAGAAACAGGACAGCTTAAAAATACTATGTGATTATTTTGAAAACAAGCTTCCATATTCATTTGGGCTGAGTAGAGGAACCGTCTACTGATATGAGTGCACAGTGGGGAGTGAAGGACTGTAAGTTCTTAGTGGATCATTCAGCTTTTATATTTAAAAAATAAGTGAAGATGAATGAGGAAAAATACTAACACTTTTATGAAGGGCTGAAACAAGGTGGCTTGCACTTTGACTTGAAGGTTGTTGTTTTTTTCTTTTATTATTAAAAACAACTTGAGGGAGTAATTTAGTAAGGGCTAAGCATCTATCTAATAGCTTTTCCATGCAGCAGAGAAGAAAATAAAGTATTTTTCAATAGAAGTAAGACAGACAGAAACAGGATATCTGTTGTAATACTGTTCCACTAAAACAGTATTAATGAACAAAAAAATTAAATCACCTTTTAGATCGCTTCCCCCACACCTTCCCTATAACTTCACTGCGTAGACCTCATATTTTCTGGAAAGAAAGTAAGCACTTATTCTTTCCACCCCCCATTCTCATGCATAGGATCCTTTTTTAATATTTTAATTTAAGAATGACACAGCAAACTTTTTTTGAGTTACAGTGCTTATTTCCAGAAAGCTGTGTCCTTAAAAAAGAAGCAACAAGCAACCTTAAGAAAAATCCTACTGAATAAATGCAATTCTTCTTTTTAAATACCTACCATTTTGGTTTTAGAGTAGCTACGATATTGTTAAATACCTTTATTTAATCTCTAATTTACAAAGTGAAGATGTTTATATAACTAGATTTTTTCAGAGATATATTCTGTTCTGCTTCTTAAAGCTGAATTATATGGTTTAATAAGAAAAGTGTAACTGTTCATAATTTTCCTCTACATAAATGCTAGTATGTACAGTTTTAAAGTATTTCCAAGTATTAAATTGTTATTTAAAGGCTACAAGAAACAAGACAAAAATCCTTTGATGTTAAAAAAAAAAATCAGACATCATATTTTGCTTTAGGTAATCATTTGCACTTTGTTAATTTCATAAATTGCAGGCCAACTTAGCATAACTAGGAAAGACTGAGCTGCATATATTTGAGTTCCTAGGTTCTTTCCCAGTTTATCATATATGACAAAACAATTAGGAAAGGAGCTTCTGAAGGTGGGGGAAAAAGCTTGTAATAAGTCCAAAATAATATATTCAGTGATTGCTTCTGCTGACCTTGGTCAGAACTTCAGTCAGCTTCATAAGCAACATGAAAACACATCACATTTTAGGTAGAAACTGTCTGGAAAGTTGAGCTTGGCATCCATTTCTGCAGTCCAAAGTTTATGTGAACATGCTTGATTTTAGGCATATGCTTCCATCATGTTAATTTGTACTTGGAGTTTTAAATCTGTCTATGACTTAGATAAATACTATATTCTAGAGAATAGAGATGGAGATGAACAAATACCATCACATTTGGCTTTAGCTGCTGCACACTTCTTAAGAGCATTAAAAAAAGGATAACAAATGATAAATTTACCAATGGCCTAGCCTATTAATAATCTGTATATTATTTTGGTGTTAAGGCACTTAAATGATGGTGTGCTGCACTTAAGTTTGAGGAGTAAATAAAATAAGTATGTTCCATTTTAATTTGCGTTCATTTGAAATGTATAAGGACATCAGGCTGGTTCTGAGACTTCATTCTTTAATTAATGTTCCCCAAATTTTTTTTAATACCTATGTTAAAATTTATTTCAAGCATGTGTATGTCTTTTTCTTTTGTGTTTAATTTATTCCCTGCAAATAAAGAACTGAGGAATGTTTTCTTTGAGTAATTTGTTTAAATGTTATAAAAATATTTGAATGCAGAGCATGATCTGTTACACTTCAACTCTTCTGTGTGAGACTATGTTATGGCAGCAGAATAAAACTGGAAAGTATCCACAGGATGCTCATGTTTTGTTTTGTTTTTCTTTAAATTTAACTAGAGGCTAAACCTACTTTTTTGTTACATTTGATATTTAGGATTTCATTTTAGTATATTCCTACAGCTAGACAACTCTTCAGAAGTGCTGCTTAACAGCCTTCTCTGTTCTGTAAGTACTAACTTTGCTATTATTTGGACAGTAAGATAATAATCAGTGTTTTTTGCCTTAAAGGCTTACAAAGCAAATAGAGAATCACAGAGTGGTAGGGGTTAGAAGGGACCTCTGGAGATCATTTAGTCCCAATTCCCCTGCCAAAGCAGGTTCACCTATAGCATGTTGCATAGGATATCATCCAACATGAGTTTTGAATATCTCCAGAGAAGCTTCAATTCATAAACTTGTTTTGGATTATTTTTCTTAGCCAGAGGAAATTAAGCTAAAATAGTAATTGTTTAGAAGCACTACCCATAATTTTAGAGAACCACTTAATGCTTTTCATTGGATAACTGTAGTAGGATCGTGGTCCTGAAAGGTTCCTGTTAGCACAGATCACTGTAAGCATGTGCAAGCCTGACTGCACATTCAAAGCATTTAAACTACAGTGACAAATTCTGGTAACACTTATCTACGTTGCTCTTCTCAAATGAGAAGCCAGATGTTCATTTAGTTAGGTCTGACCGAAGGCAACTTAAAAAAATATATACTCCTACTCCCTTTGAAAGTATGTTTCAAGCAGTAACACATGTAGGTCTGAACCAGTGAAAGCATTACAGCGTGAAAGATTCACTGCTTTCCCCTAACTGTCGTATGTGATTAGAGGTTCAGAGTCTGTATCCTGGGGATGTGCTTTGTTATAATGCTAACTCCCTGCAGGAAATTTTGTTACCCTGACACTGGCCCTGAAAAATGTTAACTTCATTCTACGAATAACAGTCATTAAAATTGAAACAAAATATTAACGCTGCTTTTAAAATAAAGTATAGATCAGTAGATTACATCACGCTCCCCCAAAGAAGGGCAGTCCTTCAAGAAAATAATTGGTGTGAGGGAATTTTTTAGCCCAACTGTCTAAAACTTTGATCAGAAATAAAAGTGAAGTAGTAAGTCTATGACTTGAGTCCAGTCCAGTGAACAAGGCCAGGTGAAAAGGCACAGCAAGCTACATAGTATCACCATCCTCTTATCCCCAGGAGATCACCTGGTTCAATGTACAGCTGGTTGCTCGGGGCCCTGCCAAGTTGAGTTCTGAACATCTCCAACCACAAGGATTCCACAACTGCTCCAGGCCCCATTTCTGTAGGACCATCCTCATGGTGAAGCTTCTCTTCCCCTAGCATGGAATTGCAATTTCCCTGGTGACATCTTGGGCCTGTTGCCTCCTGCCCTTTCCCTGTGCACCTCCAAGCAGAGCCTGGCCCTGCCTTCCCCGTACTCCCCCATAGGGTAGTTTCAGACTGCAGTATCATCTGCCTCTTCTTAAGGCTGAACAAGCACACCTCTCACAGCTTCTCTTCCCACATTGTGCGCTCCAGCCCACTGACCATCTTGGTGACCCTCCATGTCCATGCCTGTCTTGCACCAGGGAGCCCAAGTGCTGAATTGGGGTAATCATCACTTCCTTCAACCTGCTGGCTGCACGCTTGCTGAAACAGCCCAGAGTGCTGTCAGTGGTCCTTACCACAAGGGCACACTGCTGAACTGGGCTTAACTCATTGTCTGAGAAAACATCTGCCCCAACTACCCAGGTCCTTTTTCTGCAAAGCTGCTTAGAAAAGAAACCACTGTCCCCATCCACACGGTTGTACAGGGTCATTCCATGCCAGAAGGAAGATGCTGCATTTGCTTTTGTTGACCCTTACGAGGTTTCTGTCAGCTCATTGCTCCTGCAAGTCAAGGTCCACATGAACAAACATTTAGGACTACAACTTCCAGCTACTTGCTTTAATAAGTATTTCCAAATTCAAAGGCAGGAAATACTTCTTTGCAGAAAAGAACAACACACTTGTCAGCATTCAAGATATTTCTCAACTTTTTTCAGCAAATGAAACACTGATTTTACTGTATTTCTTATTGCAAGTTTTCAGACAGTATTCAGGTGCCTTACAGCTTTTTCCATTGTTCTCCCAAAATAATGGGAAATTAAGTAACAACTACCAAAAGTCATTTCAGGAATGCTTTCATCTAGCTCAGTCAAAACTACTTTATTGTACTTTCTGATATGGAAACAGGAGTAATTGTATCTATCCAAAGGGTCATGAGCCACCCTCTCTCTGAAACAGCAACAGAGCTAATAAGCCTTATTGGAATCACCATGCTGACAGCCAGGGGCATTATTTGGCCAGATTAAGTACTGGCCTCCAAAAGGGTTATTTTTAAGTCCAATTTAGCAGTGGCTAATCTAAACCCAGGCACTCACAGCTATTGCTTTACCATGTCCCTTGTAACAGGATAGTGCAGAAAGAACAGTGATGCTATAAGCAGCCTGTTCAGGTCCAAGAAGAGTATTAGTCCCAAGCTTCTGGGAAAAAGCGAGATGGCACTTAAAAGTTGTGCCTTCCTAATTCTGTCTTGGTTAGACATGCCTGAGCAGTATACCATGGGTTACCACATAATTCCAACTCAGTTGTTTTCCTAGAGACACATAACCTCTCTTCACTCAAAACTTCTCTTTCCTTTCCCCATTTTCCTTCTCCTACAGGGCCCACACACTTACCTCAAGTGCCAAGCTCACTCATGGAAACAGTTCTTTATATAAGCAAGTCATTCAGGTTAATTTGTGTGGTTTTGCAGGTAACTGGCCAAAATACTGGATACCAAAGACTTACCTTAACAGAGGAACCATTACAGTGAACTGCAAAAATTATGCTGTAACCAATCAAATCAAGATGTTAGAACTATTTTTCTAGAATACAATGGTCAGGACATCATCTTAAGCATCTGGAAGGTATACACCTTAATACTTTATTCAGTTACCTTTTATCTAGTTAGCCAGTTTCTATTTTTATAAGCATTTCTGTACAGGATCTAGAGCCTTGATAAGCTGCGTTTTTAATCCAATAGCATCAGGATAAGCAGGACATTTTATTTACCTTTTGGTCTTGTCTTGCAGCCTTTCCCTCAACTTTAGAAAGACCTGGAATCTTGTATCAGCTGCAGCCAGACTGGTGTGGATTAGCAGGGAAACAGCTCAGACATTTTTTCTCTGTTGATGACTACACTGAGTTGTAGTTAAGACATTTAAACAAAGTATTTGAAGGATGTTGAGTTAATTTCCATTGCATCTGCACAATTCCAAAGTGAGAAGTAATGTGTACATACAATAAACAGAAGTACGCTATCCTTTTGTAAGTTGTTGTTGGAATTTACACTACTAAAAAAAATGTTTATACTTGGGAGTCACTCATCTTAAAAACACTTCCTGACCCACATAATTAAAACCAACCGATATATTTACATTAAAAAACCACAAGACAGTTCAAGTATTTGCAGAAAATCCATCCAAAAACTAAACAAAACTTTAAATGAGTAACTTTCTGCTTTTAAGTGGGACTTGGAAACTTTTGGTGTTTTTAATTGCAAATTAAATAGTGTTCTTTATGCTAAGATAGCTCAGAGAGAGGAAAAAAAACCAACCAAAACCAAACCAACCTCACATAAGATATAAAATCTTATCCTGGTGCAAGGACATACATTTCAGCAATAGTATCTTTAAAGTAGAGAAGCCTGCTCACAGATGACAAAGACAACAACTTTGGTTCTGTATTTTTTTTTTACTGTACATTTAAGCAAATGTTAGATCATCAAAATTGATTTACATTTGTGTGAAAGACATTTAGTGAATACAAAAACCCCCATTAAATTCAGCCTTATAAATGATTACACGCAAAGAAATTCAAAAAGTGTGTGAAAATCAATAGTCTAATTGGCTGAACGTTTTCCAAGTTTCATTTATGAACCCTTATTTCTCAACTGTACAATAATAAATTTCAGAAAATACGCTTTATCTTTGCAGCAATACCACAGTCAGAGGGATCCTGTGCTTATGGCGTTAATGGCAGCCCACACTTTGGCAACTGTTAGTTTAATGATTTTAAGTGTACGGCCTTTCCATATTAGCAATAAGGTGGTATAGAGAACAGAAATCTAAACAACAAAAATCTATGCAAAGAGATCACGTTGATCCAGAAAGCTGTGAGCCAAAGTTCAAGACTGCAAGCTTAAAAGTACCATTTGTCCACGCTAAAACACCGAGGGTCAGGTTCAGAAGAGCTTTCCCATACAGAAGAGAGCTCAACCATACACACAACAGTGCTGCCTGATTCAGAAGCCTCACTGTGGATTTCCAAAGCTATTGAGCCTCCCAGCTGTACATCTTGGATACCTACTTCTGAGATGCTAGGCCATCAAGTCAAGACACTAAAGTAAAAGATATTTTACAAAGTAAACTTTAGAATTTATTCTACAGCCTTTGGAGGGATTTTATTTACTATGTCAAGCCACTGAAACAAATGTATTTGTAGCCTTTTGTACAAAGTTAAATGCTGAAAAGCTTAAGTATAAAACTACAGTTTAGTTTCTGTACAAGGTAAGATGGGACAAACATCAAAACCTCAACTCATCTGCAGTCTCATGAAACTTCTGCATACCACTTTTCATCACAGCCTCACTGACATTTCATGTCATAAATCCCAAGATAAGAAGATTAAAAAACTGATTTGCACAAAAGAAATCTGTAATAACTTTATATACACAACAGAAAGCCTTTCAAAAGTACAAAAATAACATCTATATGCCAATTAGTTACCATGCTTTGACAGTTCTCTCAGCGCCTACACATGCAAGACAGTAATCTAGATTTAGAGTAATTCTGCATCTGCAGAATGTATCAGAATATAAAAGACATTAACATGTGACTAACTTGTTATTTTCAGAATGGATATGTATTCAAAATGCCTTTATAACCAATACTGCAATACTCCAGTCTCTGCATGTATATGTGCAGATAAGCAGCTTTCATCTCACTTGATTTTAAAAATCTCCCGCAAGCTAGTAATCCACACGAAAAAGCTATGATGGTTCTACTGAATCTAGTTATACAAAGCAATTCAAAATGTACAAAAACTATAAAAAGGGAACTTTTATTGCCATGCATAAAACTTAAGTATGTTCAACTAAAAACTGCATCAAATGCAGTTTTGTTTTGAAAAAAATAAAAATAAAAATACACAAAGCCATTTACATCAATACTCTAACATTAGGTCAGCAGAATCAGCTCCGAGTAAATACAAGAGTAAGACACATTCCTTTTGCTGGTGCCTATCAGATCTTCAAATCCATGGGAACATAAAACCAGGAATCTTCGCTTCCCCGCAGTCAAATCAGATCATGAAATCAACTGAAAAGAGAAGTCTGTTAGTTCTCTCCTTTTGCAATAGGCTATCAAGAAAATATACTCTACTTTTGCTATCACAAAACCCCAAGAACATTTCTACAGCAGACAAACTGCTCTCTTATGCCTCTGCTGATAGTGACACATGTATGCACGGCACACAGACGTAACAATTTCTAGATAGCCCTATATCAACATCTGCAAATGAAGCCACAAGAGAAAGAATTAACAACTCCATTAAGTGAATCTCACTTCTCTAATTCCATTTTTAGTTCTGAGGCAAGCAAAAGTAATTGAACTTGAAAGTATTTTTACAAATTAGCAGCCACAGACTGCACAATAAACCCTTTGTCATGAGTACATTAGATCAGGCCTGATCTTCAGAGCAGCAGACTCAAAGGCAACAGTATGAGTGTGCTACCAGGAGCACATACAGAGAAGAGCTGCCTATCCTTATCCTCTTTTGCCTTCTCTCAGTGCCAAAGCTTCCAGGTCTGCAGAGTTTATATATGCATAGGTAACAATGCATGAGGTTGGATGTGGTCAGTGCATGAATTATAGTGCACCTTGCAGCAAATGCTGTAATTTAAAGCAAATGTATAGCTTTCAGAGGGTAAAAGCTTAAAAACGGTGATAGCTTTAATTTTAGTTCTGCTTACCAAAGAAATTCATGAGTAGCAGTGGCATGCTAAGAAAATACTCTGAAGCAGTTATTTTTAAGAGGGATACAAAAGAAAAAAAAAATCAGTGCCTGAGGTTTATTAGAGCACTAAACTTCAATACTATACAGGAAGCTATTAAAACTAGTGTAACAGGATACCATGCCGCTTTCTAACAGGCTGAAGAAAAAACTCAACCAAAACCCAACCCAGAATGTTTTCCAAATGATAAAGTCTTTACCTCTTTGACTGTTTTTTTAATGAAGTCCTTCCTGTCAGTTAAATCATAACTAGGATATTTTTCATACACCTAAAAAAAAACCAAAACAGCAAAACATACCTCAAATTACTTTCATTCAATGTATTGCATAAATAGATGGAGCTTAAATGAAATTAAGGAAAACTGGTGTGGTACTTTGGTACTTCCAATATTACAAAATGTCCTCCGTAAATTATGGAAAGTGACAAGCTCATTTTCTTGCCCTCATTTTGACCACATAAATATTTAAATACATGTCTTTTTTAATGTTTGGTCACTAACTGAACTGGCATTATAATTTTTCAAATCAACAAACTGGAATGCCTAGCTTGCCATGTCAGGCAAATAAGAATTCTGCAATCTTTGTCTTACAAGCTCTCTAGGCAGTCAGATACCCCTGCAGTAGTGTAGGAAGCTAAACAAATACTGAATCTCAAGGCATATTTTATTTTTGTAATAAGTAAAATTGTGATCCTTTCAAGTGACTAACAGAAGAGTCAACATATCTGAGTGCTATTCTACAACTATTCTTTGGTTAGCTGGGTGGGAGAAGACTGAACAAAAAACAGATGCCAACATTGACAATCGATGCATAATATTGTATTTCAGTATACCAAATTTCAGACTTCTAAAATTATAAAACATGACAAAAAGTTTACACAGAATATAAACATACAGTTTTCTTATAAGAATAACTTCTGGCTTAATTTCTGCAAGCAACTTCTTGGAAGTTGCAATATGTGAGTTAAATGACTGCAGAAAATGTCAAGGTAACAGTACTGTCCATGTTTTGGTCACTTTTCCCCACCTTTCTCTGTTCTGGTCACATAGTCCCTACCTGGAACCTGTCCTGACAATTAAAGGATTCCTTGCCAAGCTGATTCAACTCACTAACTCAGCTGAGAACTATTCATTTTTTGCTGATAGAGAGGAGTTGAATGGGCTCATAAAGAGAATATATAAAGAATGAGAGCAAGGTGAACAGGAGAAATGTGCAGAGAGCAGGACACAGCCCACTCCTTTTGACAGTACCAAGCTGCTGCACTGTTTCAACTTCTCAAGTATTTTCACTTAAATATATGGCAGTTGCTTTGGAGGAAATACTGTTACTTTCCATGTAGCTAACTTTTCTCTGGAGATTTCTCATGTCAAGTAACTGTGTTGTATATCTTAAGATTAAAGCTCTCCTTGTTTTAACTGTTAGCAAGTAAATAAATCAATACAAAGCTACTTTGTTTCTGAACAGCTGTGCAGAGTGTAAGCCTCTATTTCTGAAATGATGACAAAACTCAGTTCACAGACAACCCGATGTCTAAAGAGATTGAAAAAATCGTATTTGCTTACCTCCTTGCAAATTTGTTTCATTGTGACCTCCTCCAAGTTTGCATTGGCCAACAAGTTCTTGACAGTTTCCTTAATCTCTTCATCTGTGGGTGGTTTCTTCAGCTTTTTAATTAAAGGTTCATCATCTGAACTATCCTCAGACTCAGTTTCTAAATACAAAGAATAATCTGAATTGTAATAAAAGATTTGCAATTTGTCTGCTTTCTTCCTCCAAAACAGAAGCCAAAGCTTTCCTCAAACATCTGATGCAGATGTTCCCCCTTAAAACAGGTATCTTGCCAGACCATCCGTTTAGAAACAAAGCTAATGCTATCTGTGCTACATTTATGAATCTGCATCATTGTTGATAAACTATCAGTTTACAAATCAATGTGTACTCCAGAAAGTATGGGACAGATTAAATTAATCAAACTAAAAAAAAAGGTTTATTACAACAATTCTAAGTTGAGGTATTATTGCCCTAAAAAAAGTACATACTTGTTTTAAAAAGGAGTTGGGATTCCCTGTGCCCTCCCCAGCAGTGCTTCACACTAGGGTCTTATAATTCTGCAATGCTGTATTACTGAATGTGCTATCAGAAACACCATGACAACAAATGAAGAGAATCATGAAGGAAGTGAAGAGGCACAGGACACTCCTACAATCTTTTCCAGCCACAAAAAAGTAGACTGAACAACTCCAGCATCCAGTCAGTTCCTCTGCTGCCAAAAGGACAAAATTCAGAGCAGATGCCAAACAATTTAGATAATGACCTTACCAAAAGACATACTTAACATTTTGATTTTTGTACTGCAAACATACACCCGAAACAGAAAAGCAAGAGGAATAAAGAAGAAATTATAAATGATTACATAACATATATGCAAAACACATATGTAACATTATAAATGTATATATATCTCTATATAAGAAAATAAAGCATATACACACAGAGCGTCAGCCACATTTGTACTGCCAGCAGTCAATCTGAAAATACATTGAATTCAGCACAGGCCAGCTTAATCTGCTGAGAAATACGGCTATGCAAGAAGTTCAGCCTAATTCCATGTCTAAGAATGTAACCATTCTTTTTCTTAATACACTGCCAAGCAGGGTAATTATCTGAACTGATATATGTGCTACAGCATACATATGCCAATGCTGGCATTAAATGAAGTAGGTTTGCAGTATGGATATATGCTGCATTAATTAACTCCTACTACAATTGTGACAGAGACATGGCTGTTATCTCACAGACTGGCAAAGAATTTGACGTAGGCAAGGATCTCTGGAGATCACCCGGTTTAAATCCTTACTCAGAAGAGGGCCAATGTACAGCTGGTTGCTCGGGGCCCTGCCAAGTTGAGTTCTGAACATCTCCAACCACAAGGATTCCACAACTGCTCCAGGCCCCATTTCTGTAGGACCATCCTCATGGTGAAGCTTCTCTTCCCCTAGCATGGAATTGCAATTTCCCTGGTGACATCTTGGGCCTGTTGCCTCCTGCCCTTTCCCTGTGCACCTCCAAGCAGAGCCTGGCCCTGCCTTCCCCGTACTCCCCCATAGGGTAGTTTCAGACTGCAGTATCATCTGCCTCTTCTTAAGGCTGAACAAGCACACCTCTCACAGCTTCTCTTCCCACATTGTGCGCTCCAGCCCACTGACCATCTTGGTGACCCTCCATGTCCATGCCTGTCTTGCACCAGGGAGCCCAAGTGCTGAATTGGGGTAATCATCACTTCCTTCAACCTGCTGGCTGCACGCTTGCTGAAACAGCCCAGAGTGCTGTCAGTGGTCCTTACCACAAGGGCACACTGCTGAACTGGGCTTAACTCATTGTCTGAGAAAACATCTGCCCCAACTACCCAGGTCCTTTTTCTGCAAAGCTGCTTAGAAAGAAACCAGTCTGTCCACACCTGCACTGTTGCAGTCTTTACACAGGTGTTAAGAAATTCAATATGTGCATACTTTTTATGCATACTGTCAGATATGGGACAGTTTGCATGCAGAACCCATATCTATGTTAACAAAAACACATCAAGCTGCATAACAGAAGATACACACACCGGGATATATCCTACCAGATCAATTATAAGTTTCATGTGAAGTCCCTATAGAGGCACCAACAGAATTTTGGTAACATTCTTCCACCAAAAATGAAACATCAAGTAACAAATCAATGATTCACCAAATTGTATTTCCTTTCAAAATTAGTTACAAAAGCTTGCTTTCTAATAAACATGATAGTTAAGCTACAAGACGATGTATGATGAAAGATTTAAAGCACTTACCTTTTCTAGAACTGTTCTGATTTTTTTTAGTAGTGCTGCTATCTGCCTTCTTGACATTTGCACCCTTCACAGCTTTCCTCGTTTTGGAAGTCATCTTTTTAGACTTTTCTCTTTTAGAGGCTTTTCTAGGGGGCTAGAAAAAAGAAAAACAGAAGATTAAAATGATGGTTTCTACCTAAACAAACCGAACCTATTTTCCATAATGGAAATTATCCTGTCAATACAAACTAAATCAGCAAATTTAATTACTGTATTTCACTAGCAAATCCCACTCTTATACCATAGGGGAAATACATTCTTTTAAAATTGTCCTTCTACATGACCTCTAAGGCTCAAACAGCTAGAACTTTATGATGAAACCAGTAGTTTGGTTGTGCTGCAACTTTCCATTCATTATTACCTATAATTAGCTTATAAAACCACTTTAAAGATGTTTCTTTTAAAAAAGACATGGTATGTTGAATTCAATTACTTCTAGATGCTATAGCTCTCTAAGACTACACACAGGTAATTTTTTGCTCTAGTTGAGAACTACATTAACTAATCCATAATTTGGCCAATTATTGTGACTAATAAATCCCCAGAATTATTGCATTAAGTTAACACCAATAGAAGAAACTGGAACATAGTACATACATACAGTATACACCTATTAGTGCACTGCATTTTTGGTACTAATTAAATCTGTGCTTAACACACAGATCTTTAGATAGTACTTCTGACAAGGTTGAAGACTTTCCTCACAGACACAAACATGGAATATTGACCAAGAATAAACTGTACTTCAGAGAAAGAACATCATGAAACGAAATGAATTAACTAACAGTAGTTACTAAATTGATAATTCTAATTTATATTTAAAATGGCAGTGTAGTCAACTGAGCAAACTATCACATTTAAATAATTAAGATTAGTTCATTTAACTTTTAACTGCTTCTCCTATTAGTACCTGGTGCAACTCATGAAGCCAGTATTTAATAAACCCAATTACATCTATTTGTACTGGCTTGCTCTGTTATAGTTGCACTCACTTTACAGTGTTAAATGAAGGATGAAGACTAAAAGCTCCATCACGAGCTACAAAGTTGGAAGTTAAACCCTGCACTCACATCTCAGTTTTTTATAAAATTATGCTCCCCCAGTACACAGAAATACTTCAGATATCTCTTGCTTCCAGGTAACTCTTAGGCATTTTTTGTTTATTTGTTTGTATTAAGAAAGAGTCAGAATTATTGAGGCTAGAAAACACCTCTGAGATCACCAAGTCCAGGCTACGACCTAACACTACCACATTGGCTAGACCATGGCACTAAGTGCCACAACCAGCCTTTCTTAAGCACCTCCAGGGATGGTGACTCCACCACCTTCCTGGGCAGTCCATTCCAATGCCTGATCACCCTCTCCATGAAAATGTGCTTTCTAGTCTCCAGCCTAAGCCTCCCCTGGTGCAGCTTCAGGCCATGCCCTCTCTCTTCTCACTAGTTGCCTGGGAGAAGAGCCCGACCCCCACCTGACTACAACCTCCCTTCAGGTAGTTGTAGAGAGTGATAAGGTTCCCCCTGAGTCTCTTCTTCTCCAGACTAAACAATCCCAGCTCCCTTAGCCTCTCATTATAAGACTTACCCTCTAGTCCCTTCACCAGCCTCTTTCCACTCCTCTGGACCCGCTCCAGCACCTCAATATCCTTCTTGAAGTGAGGGGCCCAGAACTGTACACAGTACTCGAGGTGAGGTCTCACCAGTGCTGAGTACAAAGTGAGAATTTTATCTCTAGCCTTGCTGTCCACACTATTCCCGATACAGGCCAGGATGCCATTGGCCTTCCGGGCCACCTGGGCACACTGTTGGCTCATGTTCAGTCAACTGTCAACCAGTGCTGCCAGGTCCCTCTCTGCTGGGCTGCTCTCCAGCCACTCTTACCCCAATCTGTAGCGCTGCATGGGGTTATTATGGCCGAAGTGTAGGACCCTGCACTTGGTCTTGTTAAACTTCATACTGTTGGCCTCTGCCCATTGACCCAGCCTGTCCAGGTCCCTCTGCAGCCTCTTCCTACCCTCCAGCAGACTGACACTCTCCCAGACATAAAGTTAACTTTTAGTATTTCAGCCCTCTTTCAATTTGCCATTTGAGAGGAAAAAAAAAAGGCCAAACTAAGAAGTTTGTTTCATGGACACCTTGGGAATTGCAGATGTGTTCTCTTTTCTTTTAAATCCTTTGTTCAGTTAAACATCAGTTATACCCCAACTCTGCGTGTTCCAAGAATTACCAACCAATAATAACCACATAATGACAAACTGCAAACTAATGTTTTTAGCTCTATGTTGAAAAACAAACAATAAACCTCATTACCTCATCTTCACTTTCTTTGTCTTCTGAAGAGTCATCCTTTTCCTTCTTTTCATCTTCTTCACTACTGGATTCATCTGACAATATCTCTGGGCACTTGGTGTGTTTCGCTTTTCTTGTTGTTCCAGTGCTGCTGCGTTCCTTTTTGCCACCTTTGCTTGGTGTTTTTTTGGACTTTGGCAATGGCTGAGAGACGGAGATGCGTGCAATCGAAGTAGAAATACAAAAGTGAATTTTAAAAATATAAAATCCTTCACATTACATGAAAGAAGAGTAAACAAATATAGAGGTCTCTAAGTCTTGATAACAAGACCCAAGTCTATTTTATGTACTACACTTAAGCCATAACTTTTTGCAGCAAGCAGAAATTCATTACAGAGATGGAGCTCAATAAAACGAAATTTCAGTTCTAAGCTAAGCACCCCTTCCACATCCCTAACCAAACAAATCTTCAGAGGCTGAGGGTTAGAGAAGGAAAGCAAGAAATAACAATCTAGAAGGAACCTTTTACCTACCCATGCTCTCCTAGCCCATAAAGTAAGTTTTTTCTTCTGGTAACAAATAAGCTGACAACTCTTCAGAAGACTTAAAGGCAGTAATTCTGTCATGTCTTATGCAAAATTGCATTTTGTTGTCACTCCGTACCAGTTTCCCTAAGTCAGCATGCAGGCTCCTTTTTCACATCAGTGTTTGCTGGGAATAAATTTAATTTCCTGAGCAACAGTCTAACTATTTATGTGTTGTTTTTTTTTAAAAATCTGAAAGTCCAAGATGAGTAATAGAGTTCAGCAGTGTTGGCAGCTGAATCTAGTGCACTAGCACATACCAGTCAAAGCAAATTTTCCTAGTCTTGCAACAAACTCCATTTTCTGATAACCAAATGTGATCACATACACTATGCAACTTGTAGCGTACCCAGATAACATCTGACAGCTTATTTTCCTGTCCTTTCATGTTCTGACACCTTTTTTTTTTGTTTTCTGCTCACATACATCTATTTCCCTCCATTCACTCACAAAGCAGAAGCTACTTATGGCATTTGGGTACGGAAATCTCCAATTATCTTCACGTATTGACCACATACAGTTATATGCTAACAGTGTATAATGGTTGAACTTACATGTAAGCGTACAGTTTCTATCTAAGTCCTCACCCCACTATGGATGCCTGCCCAAACAGACCTACTCTCTTTCAAGCAGCCATTGGTACTTCAGTAAGTCAGAACAGTAATTGTATCACCACAGGGAGATGTGTCAAACTAGTTAAGATTTCCTGTTCCCATGCCCTAAAACATGAGAGTACAAGGTTGTTCTGCCCCTTTAAAAGTCTGAGAGTTTAAAAGGATAGTAATTGTAACAAGGCAAATATTAAGAAATAGAGACAGCTGCATTCTTCATCAGAATAGAGCTATAAAAACAAGCATAACAATCTGCATCTCACCTTGCCTGAAGATTTTGGGTGCATTAAGAAGTTTAAGATTCTGGTTACCAGCTCACTATTAACTCCTGATCTTTCCAAGTCGAGAACTTCACAGATACTTTTCAACATGGCATTTCTAAATCTGGAGAGAAAAATAAATAAATAAATATTCAGTATTGCATCCCAAAAAAAACCCCAAATAGTCAACATTTGACTGCTAGAAGATGTTATCTGGTTTGTGTCTGCAACCTAACAATAGACACAAATATATACACTTAGCTACATTTCCAGTCTTACCTGTAGTTAAGCAAAGAACCATCACCATATCAGATAAAGAAAAATATAACAAAATTTCCAAATCTACATGTGTGTAAAGTGAGATATATGAAAAAATCTTCCTCAGAGTCCCTCCTAACTGACCACATTGGAAAGAATCAGTCTTGGAAAATAAATCCAGTGGGTACAAGACTCGAACTCTAAAGGGGTGGGGAGAGTCCTCCCTTTATTTTCTCTGGTTCCTTACCCCTTTACATAAGATAAGGTATGGGAGATTATATTTGATGATGAGAGAAGGTTAAAAGAAACTCTGACATCCACCCCCTTTACTGCAAAAGGATCTTGAACCAATTGTCCCACTTTATGATTTGTCCTACCAGTATTGACAAAAGTGGAAAGCCAAATCCTGTGAGGGTATGACATCAGAATGCAAACTCAATGAGTTTTTAAAAACAAAATACAACAACCCCCTACTTATTCTACCTGTTACCTCCCTTCAAATGCTTATGCTTTCTTCTTCACTCCATTTTGTACAATGCTGCCTGAAAAGTAGATTTCATCGTCTGACTATTTTTCACAAGTTTAATAGCTATTTCTGGTAATCAAAGTCAAAGGAAACTTATTTTTCATTGTTTATTTTAAAAGTCAGTGCAACTATTTCATGGTGGCCTTCTCTACAACTTCTCTAAAGTAGTATTTAATTTCAGACTGTACCTTTAAACTCTCAGACTTTTAAAGGGGCAGAACAACCTTGTACTCTCATGTTTTAGGGCATGGGAACAGGAAATCTTAACTAGTTTGACACATCTCCCTGTCTCAAAGTATAATTCATCCACCAACCTTCCAACAGTGAAGTAAATATTTCAATTGTTTTTCTAGATAAGGTAATAAAGAAAAAAAAAAGTGCAATCTTAACATGTGGAGAGCCTTCCTGTTTAGCTTTTGGGGATACACCAAATACCCGTAATGTATTCCTGCAGAATCAGAAGACAGTAATATTAGAGTTAAAACCAGAACTTGTTAACGGATTTTAAAACTGCATAGTATTGAAGTTTCTGTTTCAGACTTTCAAGACTCTGTATACTGAATTTAGGATTTTATGGTTCTATTGCTGCTTTAACTAAAATTCCTTACGACTTGTGCTACACATGGCGTTTGTCCTTGCATGTTAACTTAGACTAGAAGTAATATATACAAAGAGTATCACCGACCAAATCCTTTCACATTTTTAATGCTTTGAAGGTATATCTGCAGGTAACACCAAACAGAATGTAATGTACTAACTATTAAAATGTATTTCAAGTGTGGAATAAACAACTGCACACAAGTTTTGTTTGAGTCAGTTCCATAGCCAGTAGTTTTGACTTACAAAATCCAAGAACTCTAATCCACACAGAAACCTCAACCCTCATTCTTTTCAGTTTATAGCCTGAACAGTAATATTCTGCAAAATAAACTTTGTCCGTGTTCATCTTTTTCAATGCTGTTAAAACATGATGACATGCAAGTGTATAGCGTTGGCAGAAGTCAACCATGTAGTCAGAATAAATTAATAACCTTATCAGCAGTGTTTCATACATAGCTATGAACAGCAGCAGAACTTACCACAGTAACACAAATATACAGAGCTCAGTACCTTGACAATGCAACCAGTTTTCAGAATACTGCTGAAGACTGAGGAGTAACAAAACTTAATAGCTGTTTTTTCATATGGAAAAATATGAAAAAACTTTATTTTGTGACCTTTTGCAGATAATGGGAAACATTATCCAATTAAACCAGTGGGAAATGGTCAAAACTCCCATCCTGAAACAGTTTGTCTTGTAGATTCGTATGTATTAGACAAACCCTACTCCTAGAAAACTATGTATCTGAGGAAGGAAGATCTGCAAATTCCAAATTCTGAATTCCTTTCCACTATCAGCAAACTGAAACTAAATAAAAAATATTTAGAATCAACTATGTAAAAGTTATTCATTCTTCATTTGTTACAACTAGTTACACAAATATGCAAAGGCATTTTTAAACCCTTTCAGTCCAGTCAAAACCAAGCCGCAGCAGTTTTTCCTGTTAATAGAAAAGCAAAATATGTGGGGAGACAGTAAAAAAAGAACAGCAAAAAATGTTAAGGCTAGCTTCTACAGCCATTCTAGGAGTAAGTCTGTATGTTTAACATAGAATAGGCAGAAACAGCTTTGATTCTGAAGGAGGACGGTTTTGAGGCATAGAAGGATGCAAGTTGCACCATGAATAGAGCACAATGTATTCACAACACTATGCTTGCCCGGAGGAAATAATGTTTTCCTCTCGCTTGGCAGAAAATCTCATAGTTAGCATGCAATAGTTAAAGTCAGGACTGTAGGAATCGTAAATAAAATGTTCACAATTTAACTCTTTTTAATATATTTCAAGTTGTCTTAAGAGACCAGTTTGTGTGATTAAAATGAACTCATAGACAGATCCTAGAGCTCTAGGAAACAGCCACTCAGCTTAAAGTTCAAACTTAATCTGATGTAAAATTTTGAACATGAAAAGGAATGTACAGCATGAGTCAAGCTATGTTAAGTAGCAACAGAGATCATTACTTTTTTAACATTTCTTCCTTCTTTTTGTATTGGTCACTTCCTTTTTCAAATGGGAACCCACTGAACTGACCCACATTCTTCTTTAGGGAAGCAACCTAGAACAGAACACAAATTACTTTCCATTGCAAGCAGTTTAAAAGACTTCATCCAATTACATTCATTAACTTCTCATACAAGAAAAATTTATTCTAGCATTTTATCTTTCCTTTGACAAAAAATTATACCCTTATGCTGTAACCCGAGTGGATTATGCCTTTATTTATCTCATGACAGCCTAACTACAACAATTAAGTTCTTGTGATCTTAGTACTTTTAATTCCTTTTAATGACTTACTAGGTAAAATCACCTGCCATTTCAAGTTTCTTTAGAACATACTGCATGATTATTTACAAGTTTGCACAACTATGATCATATGATGCCTGTTGCATGCTTTGTACCATGTAATCTGTTACAGAATAGTAAGTTTTATTTTTACTACATAATCTGCTAAAGCAGATTTGCTTTACTTGCTTTTCTGAAGTCTTACATAGGACCATGATTGTATTTCTGAACATTTTCTTTAACATGACCAACTTTTGCATTTACACACCACTCAATTTACAACTTCCACCATTATACCTGCAGTCTGAACAGGGTTGAACTTTCATTGCAACAGCCCTTGTAATGGAAAACTGCAGGATCTCAAATACATTAAGTTCTTTCTTTTCAGTCCATCTCCTTTTACAAAAATAGAAGTTAAACATCCCCAAATCTTTCATTATTCTGAGATCTTTTTAAACACTATCAAGAATAATTTGAACTCACTTTCAATAGTTCTACAAATTTTGTTCCTGGTGTTTCTCCATTAGTTTATTTTACCAAAGCTAAGCTCCTTTTCCAAAGATAATTATCTTTGTCCAGCACCTAGAGAAAATTTGCAGATGGTAATGATATGTTTTATTAAAAATGTTAATTACGATCCAAAGCACATACAGAACGTGCATACAAGATAAAATTTGATCTTCGCTATATTAAACAGCATTCTGAGTTCCCTACAATTCTAATTAAATATAGTTTTAGATGAAATCATACCGACGTATTTCCAAGCAAATATATTCTCCTATCTTTAGACTAAAAACACTGGGATGCTGCAGCAATGCAGCTGGACTTTCCAACAAGTCTATGTCCAAAAGACTAAATGTGGGAAGGCAAAGCAAAGGAGGGGGGGAATTGCAACCAAGTGGAGTGGGAGGGAAGGGCGAGAGCTGTATTTCAACAGCAGTAGTGTCTAATTAGTATGATTTAGGAGTGTTAAGTACGAATTTATAATTACATAATTTTCACATAATTATGAAACTGTGAATAGTGGTGTGTCTATTAGTTGATTACATTATTTTTTATTGGTTACTAAATTATTAATAACAGTATCATTGAGTTGCTAGCTTCTTAGTAGTGTGTTGCATAGTTGATAAACAATATAGTCTCTTAAATCAGTTATGTCTCAGATCTGCAATCTAAAGTGGAAAAGATGGACTCTGAGATATCCCAGTACCTCCACTCAAAGTTGTTGTGAAAGCATTACTGGTTTCATGAAGGGTAAATGGATACAGTTTGACAATGTTCACAGTAAAGCCAGTTAAATCAGAAAGTTACATGGTTCTGTCATTATAATCTTCCTATCAAACAACTAAATTAAAACAATCTAAAATTTTGCAAAACTCTATACGCACCAAGTCAGAAATTTAGTCTGGTTTATTTTCATACTGAATAAATAGCAAAATTCAGAGGTAGGTTTTAATGAACATATACTGTTCTTTTTCTGAACACTTGAGGCAACAGATCTTTGTCTGTGATTTAAACAAACATTGCATGTGCAGCAGTGGTCTGAGATGCATCTGTACTAGTACTATTCAGTTCCTGGTTTCTGTGCTAGCTATTCAAGTTTCAAAAATACACAAGGAGATTAAAAACAAATTCCTATAAATATGTTAAGTGTATTGAAATAGTAAAAATTAATCTGCCTTAATTTATCTATATCCATTTTACCTCTATTAGCAAGGAAAATGGGTCATATTTACTCTTGTGATTCATACAATCATTGATACATAGTAGCTCCAAGAAAGATTTGCTATTATATTTACTTTAAGCTTCATCCTTAAATACAAAAGCGAGCATATAGGTTTTTAACTAACATTTTAATTGTCTTGGATAAATGTGACAAAGATTTTACATATAATGTAGTTTTACTTTCTAGTGCTTTGTGCAAACTAAATGAGAAAATGAATAGGTAAGTAGCAATGTATTAAAACCCACTAACAGGTTTCAAACATAAAAGAAGTAGAAGTACTAAGAAAAAGCTATGTTGAACAAAATAACTACAAGGAATATTTAAACCATAATCCACAAGTCAGCAGTTTTTAGCATGTGAACAATATATTATTTCCAACTTGTCCTCATAAGGAAAACCACACCTCTCTCCATTAAAAAAAAAAATCTATATTTAAGTGGACTTACAATTCAGTACATCTTTCCATAAGATTTTTTTACAGGTAGAGTAGTTTACAGGAGTCAGAAAAATTATGGGTTTGCTTAACTGGTCCTGCAATAATAATTTTCTAAGTAGTTTGTAATAACACTTCAGAAGGAGATCCACACGTGCTTAAATGTAAAAAAACTATACTACAAACATTTTCCCTATGCATGAGAACTAATAGACATACAAGACAGATTTTACGTTCTTACAGTGCCTGGCCTGTTGTAGAGGAGTTTGTGCAGGTTCCTAAGTTCATCTGTCTTCTTTTTACTCAGAAAGAATTGTATCCTTTCAATTTCACAGAGTTTTTGTCCTTTTCCTGAAACAGTTAAAATCAATTATGCTACTCATCACATTCATATTTACCTATGTGTTTGTGACTTCAAATATCTACTGTTTTTTAAAAAAGCAAAGTTATTTCAGAATAGCATCAGACATTATAACAGGTCAAACATTAAACAGGCCTTTTCCTATCAATTAGGCATCCTGAAAGTCTCTTTAAATTCCTTGATACTACCTAGGCCAGGGTACAAGGACTTGGCACTTCTTTTTATTCTAGCTGTTCCTGCATTCAGTGGTGGCTAGGTTCTGAAGATCCTATTCCATGTAAGTTTAAACTTATGTAACTTTTATGGTTTAAATTAATGCTGCAGAATAAAAGAGGGTTTTCGTATAACAGCCTTGCTATTTAAAAATGGATCATGACTCTTAAGTTAGGTCTCATCTACAACAAGTTAATAATTTGATCTTTTTTATCAGTTTTCATTATTATTCTCAACACTCACAATTCTTATGCAAGAGGACAAGCTTACCTGGTGTAATTGTAAAAGGTTCCTTTTGCAATGAGGACACTTGCATGGTCAGCCGGTCTACCTTCTTTTTCTCCCTTTTTCCTTCAACAATGAGACTCTTTTCTGCAAAAGACAGCTTCGTTAAATACAACAGTCTCCTCTACATGAGCAGATTTGACTGCAGTGACAGGTAATACAACACTGAATCTTTGAAATGGCACACGAAAAATGGATAATATACATATCCAATATATAGTAATATCTACATATAAAAAATGGATAACGTATATTACAATGGATATTGTATATATTACTATACCCAGATACTAGGACACTGTCAAACCTTTGGGTAATAGCTCCATGGGATTCTATGGAGCTGTATACATATATACATATCTATATTTATATATATATAAACTAGAGGAGTCCCTGGTTCTTAACCACAATCCTCTAACTTAACCTTGAAGACGAGACTGGGCATTTCCTAAAAGGAACTTCACCCCGCAATGGAGACTGCAGCACTACACATTTTCAGAAAACCATCCCATTTGCATAGTCTTCTGGGATGCTACAGCCCCTAAAAGCACAACTCCAGTTTTAGCTCTCTTGGGGAGAATATTACCAACAGATGGGCAAAAGGAAGGTCCAGCATGCCCGCTGACACTTTCTCTTCCCACTAGTAGACTGGAGAACCCACACACATCAGCAGGAGAGGCAGAAGCACAAGCGCAGTGGGACTGTACTACACCTCACAGGGCTACACAGTGCAGCACTCTGCAGGGCACAGCACAAGCATCACAAAGACTAAAATACCACTATTCCCAGTAATTCTCGCACTGTTTAGCAATTAATACATTTAGATTGTTTACGTATACATTGCACATCACTACTTTAACGCCACGTCAGGAAAAAAAACCTGAAACTTCACATAAACATTTCATACTAAAATACTTTATCTCTAATCAAACTACCTTAGCACTAAGCACATGGGCTATCCTGGCTTTAACATCTGAAAGTAGCTTCAAAATCTGTATGAACATAATCAATATGTATATCGAGGATATGTATATTGCATATAAAGGCTATGTATCTGATTAAAAACAAGCAAAACATAACTATTTCTTGCATACACACAAGTCACAGTTGTTTCTAAAAAACTAATTCTAATTACTCTAGATTCCCAAACAGCATAACCTTTCTTCTTTCTATGACCTTTCCTAAAGACAAACTTGAGCTCCTTTAAGAATCCAAGAGCATCAGTGACTTGGTTTTCACTGTGCCATAGTGCAGTTCTATTTCCATGGATGCTTTTATTTGCAAAACAGGTGCCTAGAGATTTCACAATAGAAACCAATATTTTTTTGCATACAGTTCCTTCATCACATCTTGTGTTCCTTGACTACCCTCTTCAATTACATGCCACAACACAAAACCTGCCTTGCTAGCTCATCCTATATTGCCACAATTTCTATTGGCAAAATTAGTAAAATGGCACATCCCCCCTCCAATAAAATTTGGTACCCAGTAAATTAATTCACAGTAGTTAAGCAGATATATCTGTATTGTTTCCAAAGGTACTGCACAGACTTTTCAAGTTTTTATCTTTTGAAAACATGGATCACTTTGGAACATTACTGGCAAAAAAGTATTCTTATCTGGATACGCATTTTTATACAAATTACTTGATAAGACTACGCTAACCCTTATAAACATCTGGTAGTTTATACAACAAAAAACCCTAGCACAGGAATCCAGGATGCTGGCAATCCCTTCAGTCTTTCCTGAGGAACGTCAGCATTGAGGACATCGGCCCTATTTCTAGTGTTGTCTGTTATAATCTACTGGGAGGCAATTTATGACCCATGAGACAGACATACCATGGAATCTCCTAAACAGTAATTGTACAATTAGCTGGGATCAAAGACTACTGTATTCAGCAAGCTTGGCATTTTTTAAAGAACAACTTATTCAGTAGAAAACAAGTACCCTTTTCTTCCTCCTCTTCTTCTTCCTCTTCTTCATCTTCATCACTTTCTTCAGCTTTATTTTCAGCTTCAGGTTGTTTCTCATCTGCTTTTTCAGATGACATTGTATCTTCTTTTGATGAAACAACAGAAGACATGGTGTTTGGTTCTATAAAAAGCAGTCAGGGAAACTATCATCAATATAGCATTATACATGAAAAATACAGGAATCTTGATTTTTTAATAAAAAATCTTACTGTACGGTAGAAGTAATATTATAGTGCTTGTACTGTGATAGTTACACATTCTTTAAGACACTAAAGTATTCCGCATACACGCAATACATAAAATTTTTCAGGAGTTGCCATCCATTCTGCAAGTAGCCTGTTAACTGTTTAAAAAGTTATCATTCTTTGAACACACAAGTCTTCAAGCTTCCTTTGCAAAGCATTCGGAAACGTCCATTCAAAGCAGCTGATGCTATTATCTATTCAGAACTGAATCATTTTAAGATATCACAATTTTAATGTAATGCATTATAAGCTGAAGTTATTTCTGATCACTATTAACGATGCATACAAGTGTCCTAATAAGTTAAACAAGCTACATATTTAGATGGGAAATGGGTACAGAAGAAAAAAGTTATGAGCAATTTGGAAAATACACCACTTTGGGGATTCAAATAGCTGTGACATCTATGGGCTTAAAAATGCTTTTTGTTTTTAATCTGCAGATTTACAATAAAAATAAATGCTTCACACTTAGCACATTTAAGAGGAGTCTTTTCTATACCATCTGAAGTGGCTTAAATGTTAACTTTAAAATTAAAATATCACCCTGGCAAGTACAATTTCCCTACTGACACAGAATATCTAACAAAAGATAGCCATATCTGTTCATTTTTAAAAAATAAAGCTTTTAAAAATCTTACACTGTTTACAGATCTGGAACAAAATACAGCATCAGTTGTGTAAGCCCTTGTGGAAAAAAATATCACATGATTAACCATTTTGTTTTTCCAATATTAAAGCCAATATTATCAGCAAGAGGTCAGACTCAATAAACAGCAACGAAATCAACTGCTTGTGTGTAAAATTAGCAGGTGCCAGAGAACAGCAGCACTCCAAATGACAGAAAACGTGAGTGGTATTACCAACAGTCGGGGGAAAGCGAAAGCTTACTACTCTTCACTAAATCACTGGGGAAAAAAAAAATCCCTTACAGGGTATTACTACCAGTATTTCGTTTGACATGGAAAAGTAATCCGACTTCCTCACAATATTACTACCTGAATTTTACTTGTCTGCACAAGCGAAAAACCAAGTACTACACGTTGTGTTTCCTTCCTCTTTTAACGGTAGCAGAAGGGGAACAGAAAAGTAAGAGACTTCTTAGCTTTCCAGCAACCACGTCCGTGAGCACTACCGGCTTAGGAAAAACGGTACTGGGATCCACCTTTAGGAAAGCTTAAGTCGGTGGTATTTTCGGCCGGGAGAAGGTATCTCGCAAGCCACCCCGAGAAGGGTAACTTGTGCACAACAGCACCTCCCATCTTCCTCCACGACTTTTCAGACACGGACTCACCACCTGTCCCCTTCCCGACTTGCGAGCCGGAGAAAGCGATGACGATGGGCAGCGCCCCGACTGGGATCCACCTTTAGGAAAGCTTAAGTCGGTGGTATTTTCGGCCGGGAGAAGGTATCTCGCAAGCCACCCCGAGAAGGGTAACTTGTGCACAACAGCACCTCCCATCTTCCTCCACGACTTTTCAGACACGGACTCACCACCTGTCCCCTTCCCGACTTGCGAGCCGGAGAAAGCGATGACGATGGGCAGCGCCCCG